AGTACTGGTTCAGGGGAACCTAAAGACATGTGTAACGTCACCGCTGATATAATAGTCATTGGGTCAGTTAATGGACCTATTAACGTTACTGTTTTCATGGCATGTTTGTACCACTCCACTTTTATTATTGATTGCGGGTAAAAACGCCATGTACGTACTTTGACCTGTGCCTAGAACAATAATGTACTGTACGGAGTACTGTAGTTACACACATGCACATAGTAAGGTAGTAAGTAGTATAGTAGTCTGTACACACACCCATGGTATTGAGCCTTACCACAATCACCTTCACCGCTTTGTGGCTACTCCTGCTTTATGGATTGTTTGTTTGGTTTCCATTGATGTCAACGACTCAACAACCTCTTCTCAACCTCCCCCCCCACTTTTCAGTGCTCTCCTCGTCCTCCCCTTGGCTCTTCCCTCATTCTCAACCGCGTTCGCCTGTTCTACACTTAATGTTGAGTGCACTATGATATCAATTCCGACGCGTGTTGGATCGTCAACTTCAGTGATGACAGACCCCACGATCTTCCCTCGACCCAAACCGGTCTGCAGCGGGAGGGAAAGTCCAGATGGAATGAATGATCGAATTTGCGCCGAGGAGCGAGTTTGCATCACTCCCCTCTCTACAGGACTGATGCATGTCCTTTGTTCGTTATCGTTGACTTTCCCACATGTTTTGGCGCCCTGACCATTGCTCTGGAACGAATCAGATTCTCAGGTTGTTCCATTCACATCATCATCAGGCATGACATGGGGCGGAGTGGAAGTCTGATACAACCCGCACCATAGACGGACCCTCTTGCTTAGGCCTTCAGCATTCAGCCTTCGACCACCGGCAATGACATACTTTGGTTGCGGTGGGGTTTACATCCAGCTGCGGTGACCACAACACACAAGGAATTCCAACTCACCACTAGGATCGAGCGGTTTGCTCTCGATGACGGTACCACGGGCTGTACTGTCTGTCCCAATTTTTCGCTACGTGCCTCAAACTAACTACGTAGAGCGCATATCCCAGATGTCTTCCACCCACTTACATATACACTCTTTCCTATATTAATGGCCTCGGGTCCAATGCATTCCCCTTTCGATTCTCAACTTTCTTCCTTTCATATCCACCGAATCAATCTTTCTCATTGCATCCTTGTGCTGGAACCGCTGCGGCCCTCCCGCTGTGATCTTCTGTGTCCACGCCAAACTTGTGTGGGCTACTCTGACAAACCCCTCAAAATTCAATTAGACTGTGTACGGAAACAGGTTCTCTTGTGAAATATTGTCTGGCTCCTCCTCAGGATCCAGTGATCGTCTTGTTTACACATACTCAAATCCGTTCCGAAAGCTTCGCAGACCTGCGACCAGTTTTCCCCAGGGGCAATCCTCTCAGCGATTGATCGATCTGTCTGGCCAGCTCAGGGCAGCTCACCGTCGACCATTTCTTGTTCTCTCCGCGGGCCCACAACGCGCTCCACCCACCCACATATCATCGTCACCCCGGGACTATCCTGTTCCACTATCCACAATGACTACTACCGACGGTTTCGGTACCCAGAGGGTATGTCGGCTGTCCAGCCTGGATGCTTCTCGGGCCGACCTCTACGGCGGCCCTAATGTAGTCCTCCCTCCCAAGCATTTGATGGCTTCTAGCGATTTCCATGATACAACTACCACAATGGAATTGGACAAGCATCAGTCAGATGTCGAAACATCGTCGGACGATGGTTCTGTGCGCGTTGCGTCCCCAGTCCCTGAGCGACACCTCACCACTGCTGATCACTTCGCTCTGGGATTCGACATTGACGGCGTCCTCATTCGAGGAGGAGAGGCAATCCCCGAAGCGGCCGCCGCCCTCAAGTACATCAATGGCGACAACCCGTACGGGGTCAAAGTGTATGTCTCCCCTGCAGCACCTGTTCGCAAGATTGACCGGGCTAACTATTCATCTTCCAGTCCTTACATATTCGTGACGAACGGCGGCGGCAAAACAGAAGAGGAAAGATGTCTGGATCTCAGTCGTCAGCTGGAGTTGGATGTCTCCCCCGGCCAATTCATCTGTGGCCACACCCCCATGCGAGAGATGGCCGAAAGATATAACACCGTACTGGTCGTTGGTGGTGAGGGTGAAAAATGCCGTCATGTAGCCAAAGGCTATGGCTTCAAGGATGTGGTCACTCCCGGAGACATCATCAAGACACGACACGACACCACGCCATTCCGCAAGCTTACCGACGAAGAATACAAGAACTCTCGGGTCATTGACTTTGACAAGACGAGGATCGAAGCAATCTTCGTGTTTGCTGACAGCCGAGACTGGGCCGGCGATCAGCAAATCATCTTAGATCTGCTCCTGTCTCAAGATGGACGTCTTGGAACTCGATCCGAGAAGTTTGATGAGGGCCCGCCTGTCTTCTTCTCCCACAATGACGTGGTATGGTCTACTTCTCACGAGCACACTCGCCTCGGCATGGGAGCATTGCGGGCTTCTCTCGAAGCATTGTACAAAGTTGTTACTGGCAAGGAGCTCTCAACCATCTCTTTCGGCAAACCGCAGATGGGTACATACCAGTTTGCTACCCGACTCCTGCGGCAATGGCGAAAAGAGAGCCATGGCATCAACAAGCCACCGGGCACAGTGTACTTTATTGGAGATACCCCTGAATCTGATGTCCGGGGAACAAATGAGTTTGACAAGACCACGGACACCAATTGGTTCTCGATTCTTGTCAAGACCGGCGTCTACCAGGATGGAACCGTGCCCCGCTACCAACCCAAGCATACTTGTGCCAACGTGTTTGAGGCGGTCAAATTCGCTATCGACCGTGAGATGGCCAAAGATGGCCAAACGCCACTGACTTCCGGGGCTGATTTGGATTCCGGCATCGACTCGGATTCAGCAGCCGCACGTCACTAAATGGAACGCTTACGCTACCAACACTAGTTACCGATTGATGCTGCGAAAGGTACCGACAAGTACAGTTTGCCCTGATCTTCTGTGGTTCACTTAGATCTTGGTTGGTCAGGGCATTGCAGCATCCTATTTACTCAAGCATGTCTTCCTGGGGCATGATTTCCAGGATTCACTTGAGGCATGAGTTTACGATAGATTTCCTTTGGATGCCACGGGTATGGAGTATGGATACATTGGCTTGTCATGGGTTTGGCGTTCTCTTCCTTCTTTTGTTCTACATATTAGGAATTCAACATGTCACTATAGATAATTTGAAATATTATTGAATCCTGAACTCAATCCGGTTACATCTTCGCAATGGTTCCCTAAATGAGCTGACTCGCCCCGCCCCTTGTGTGTACTTTAAACCATATAGTAGTCCATGGCTAGGTAGTCTTAGTAGTCTAGGACCGGGGTAGGATTGCCGCGGATACTAGACTAGTAGACAGTACACAAAAAGAGGGGCGGCGGGGAACCCTTTGTTACAGGCCCGGGCACATGCACGTCACGTCCTTCCGACCGAGTCAACAGTCAGGATATGATTTCCCGGACTCGCTCCACCAAGTGTATTGTCTCCGCGAGTGGAGTGGCAGTGGTCGGCTAGAGTCTGGAGGTGGAGACGTGGAGACCTGATGGACGGGCACGCTTGGCCTGGGTTTAGCGTATGCAGAATGAGCGCATCGAAGCATGCGGGATTTACATTCAGACCATGTGTACTTTTATGGGGAAATCGTGGGGTACATACATATGCATTCATGTGAGCTGTATTCAATTGAACGATAGCTGTGCTGATCTGATGCTGTAGGCCTGACTTGTTGCCTGTTCGTGGGTTATATCATGATCTTAGAGGGTGCCTGCGTGCGGGATTGGAACTGGGTGAGGCCTGAGGCTGTTTATTCTCCCGATTTACCATTGAGCCGTCATGTTCCTTTCCCCTCCTCCTCCTCCTCCTCCTCCTCCTCCTCATCTTCTCCCTTTCAAAATGCATCAACATGGTAGGTACTACTAACACCGGCTAGAGCGCTACAACCAAGCTACGGAGTACTAATGACCACCTCAAAGCTGACTAGTCTCCAATAGATGTCATGCAATACCCCTCTCGATCACTTGCAGGAGCATCTGGTCTGCACAGCATCACTTCTGGGGTCTTGTCCCCGCATCTACAGTACAGTACCGCTTTGGCACTCGCCATACCTACTCATCAATCCAGCGAAAATCCCTGCAACAGTTGTCCGCCAGGTGAGAACCAACCCGCTTCACTAATTCCTGGAGTGGCAAAGACCCAATCGCACCGCAATACCATATCAACTAATGCATTGGCATACAGCCATCGGACCTGACAGCTAGCGCTTCTCCAACAGAGTGTCCAATCGTATAACCTTCCAACTTGGGGTCGGCAGTCACTCTAACCTTGAATACCATATGAGGCGTACCCCTCGGCTATACCGGAACGGCCCAAGCGTCGTGCAACCAAGCCCCCGGTCATCCTCGCCACACTTAAATCTCACCACTTGCCTTAGCGTTGGAGGGGGATGGCGGGGATCGGGCTGTCATTGACTTTCACTTTACCTTTCCATTGAGCCGGTCCTGGTCGATCACGAAGGTCAGTGTTCCACAGTTTTTTCGTCCTTGGCCGCTTAACAGGACTTGGCGAGGATGTGCCATGTTCACTCATTCTTCGGTGTCCGAGGTTATCCGGCTGGGATGAGAAGGGCTGCGCCAGGTCTTCCTGATCCTGAATTTTGAGTTCCACCCGGTAATGCTTGAAAGGATTCGATTCCACGTAAGGTCTTCAATTCGGACGTGAAGTCTTGTCTCGCAGTTCGAGTCAGGCAAAGGAACTGAAAAGGCAGACAGAGCTGGGAGCCACATCACACCGTACACGGCTGCAATGTCTATTGTTCTTCACTCGTCAATAACTGATCATACTACGGCGATTGCGCATCATCAGTCGGATCTACGTCATGCTGCTCAGGGAACATCATGAATTTTTAGGTGAAAAGACTATTTTACAGATCTATCTAGAGTTACAGGGAAGCTAAGCGACATTCGGCTACCAATCCGGCTCTTCCACATCTGAGTCAATGCCACGCCACATAGACAAGCCCCCTCGCTGGATGCCACACATTAACAGGACGGTGTGCATCACGGTATTGTGCATGGTTGAACAGCCTACAAAGCCACGGTGAGAGCCCCAGTCCAAGGCAGCAGAGCACCACTCATCAAACGTTTCGTCAGTTGCTTCGGGCACGAAATGATAGTCGCTGACGGCAAAGTAAATATCTTGCAGTGCTACATCACGGACCATGAGTTGTCCCGGGTACAGCTCCAGGAAACGGACATTCCGTTCAACATCCAACAACCTGTAGACGCCACGGGAGAAATTGCATCTCAGATTTCCCAGCTCATTCTCTTCCAGATCCCAGAGCGCTTGGGCTTCGAGGCTCACCCGAAAGCTACAGAAGCCAATCGTGCAGCCCGACAACCGCCAACGTAGGCCCCATCGATGAGAGAGGAACGCCTGCACTATCTGCTCGTGTGCCGCGCCGTGTATCTCGGGCGCCAAGATCAATGGCCAGCGCGCATTCAAGGTCTCTTGCCGATGGTTGATATGATCCATCAGGATCTTGCTCGGCTCGGTGAGGAGCTCCAGCGTGGTCAAGACAACCCCGCGCAGCTGCGGGTTGGGTACTCGCGGAGCCTGCTCATCGTCGCCCCCATTGTCCATGAGATCGTATGCCCTATGCCATACTAGCCGCTCGAATCCCGCGACAGTGCAAGTCCACTCCACCTCGACCTGGTCTCCCAAGCCCGGCGGCAGCTGCTCCCAGGCTTCTTCGTTCTCGTCGGGGATATAGACGAAGATGATCAACGGTTTGGCCTCCGGCACACGCGACGGCACGTGGTCCTCGAATTCATATTCGCTTCTATCGTCAAATCCGTCGTCACTTTCGCCAAGGTCTTCTGTGCCCGTGGTGAAAGAATCAAAAGGCGTGGCTCGCAATAGCGGGTAGTCCGGCCGCCACGCCGCGTTCCGGTCGACCCCAGGGACCTTGCTCAACCACTCGGCGGTTCTCGCCATTTCGTCCCCGTTGTTCATGGTCTGAGGCACCGTGGGCGTGGTAGCGCCAGCAGGGGCACGGTCTCTGAATACACTCATGGTGACTGTTGTTGTTGCAGGATCCTAGAAATCCTGTTCTGGTGCCCCGGGAAAAAATGCTATAGTGTAGGTGTAGCGTAGGCGTGGTGTTTCTGAACGCTTTCTCAGAGAATAAAAATTAGCCAATGCTACACGCACGGTCTTCTGACTTGCGGTTTGGAATATGGTGTCATCTAAGGCAAAGAAACGAGTATACAGATAGATGTCGTTGAAGCCTTTCGAGCTGCATAAATCGCATACTCAGGTCTTCTTCTGGTGGTGCACCTTCCAACGGGGGCTTTCCATTAACAATATCTGCTTCTCAGCAATTAACTGGTGTGTTGACTAGATTACGCAGTCGTTATCATGGAACTTGCCTTCATGTATACAGTAACACGCAACAGCAAAGGTTGGATCCTGAGGAAGGCGCGGTGGGTTCCTGGGGACGCCGGTCTAAAGGGGACAGGGGTGGTAATGACACGATCAGCGTGCTACATGTACTGACAGGCTCTATGAAAATACCATTGTCAAAATTCACTAGAACCTATTTGACAAGCTAATATGACAGTAAAGGCTGTACTTCTGCGGGACAAACAAATATGCCTTGAACACACGCGTGAACACAAAGCATTGAGCTTGTTCGATCACCCCACCAATCCCAAAGCGAAAGATTGATTAGAAATTTGACACTGCCCGCCTCTTTCAAGCATCCACATTCTACTATCAAATAGAAACTGCAACCACCCCAGCTAGATAGGGCTGATATACCTATTTTCTCGGCAATTCAACACAGAGTACGGAGTACCCGCAGCAAAGCGCGACAGGTCAGTAGACCTGGCAGACACTACTAGCAGAGTATTCCATACGAAGTGTCGAATATCTACCAGCCGCACAAAACGTGTTCTCCGTCCTTGCTGAGATCAGTGGTAGAGTCAGCGCGTTGGGGGAAAAAAAAGGGTGATGCACAAAAAGCTAAGGTCGTGCCCGGGTTCGAACCGGGGTTATTGGAACTTTCTGTCAACTTGACGTCAAAATCCAAAGTGATAACCACTACACTACACAACCTGTAGATGTCATACTGAGCTAACTCTAGTCTTATGATGACACTGCAAAACTAACGGGGAGGTTGGAGCTAGATTCACTAATTGGCTTTGTTTGGTGTTGATTCGCGAATGGGGCTGATTTATGGTGTTCGGGGAATAGCATGTTTGTTCCAAGAGTGGGGGGCTTATGTTTTGTTCAGGAACAGTGGAAGGGTTCACGTTGTGTAGGTGATGTTTAGGAGAAAAATTCAGATCGAGCGTCGAGTATAGTGTTGCATTGTAGGTGTGATTCTATCTATCTAGTTCCCTACATACACCAAGTGACTAACTAACGCCTTCTTCGAAAAAGCAATCCCCTTGCATGCTGTCTTTGTGTATCAGAATAAGAATGGCTATGTATTTCTACGGTCGCGCTGGGCTTCTGTCCCAAACATACGCCCTCTACCAAAAGGTGATGATGGGCAGGGTCTTATATCTCAAACTCCTGGTCTAACCAATGCTTCACGACCACCTGGCCCTCGTCGAATCCCCTCTTCTTGACTCGAATGATGATAGCGGCGTGACTATGCCGATGGTTATGGATCCAGACCGGGAACTTCCGGAAGCCCACCGAGTTCAGCGAATCGATGATGGAGAACTGCGCCGGAGTCAGTGCCAGCGTGGGGAATTTCTCGCTCGCAAAACTGTCGGTCGTGCTGCTGCGCCGGAGCAGAGGTTCGATGTCGTCTTCATCGAGTTTGCTTTCCAGGTCCGTCGCGGATGAGGTTGTTACTTGACGTCTCTTGTGTGCGTCGGATGTCTTCTTATTGGATGTGGTGGTGGTGAAAGACAGATAATCGGGCTTCTGGCGAGCGCCGGCGCTCTCGAAGACCTCCTCGACGACGTGTTGGACCTCGTTGACTAGGACGGGCACGCGGTAGCGGTCAAAAATCCTGCGCGAGTGTGCGGCCTCGTGGTGGCGGATGCGGCGTTGGCTGCGGAAGTTCTGGACCACTGCGTTCAAAAGGAATAAGGGCACGCCGATGATGACGAAGGCCGTGAAGAGGGTTTGGAAGGGCAGGTTCGTGAAGAAACTGGCGACCTGGCGCTGGAGCTGCTCCAGCCAGGACGGACTCGGGGGCTGGACGACAGTGACGGGCTTAGTGGCATCGATGACGACGGGCTCGTACCCCTCCACGTAGTCGAACTGTACATTCTCCAGGTCCTCGAAGGGGTTGATGGCTGAGATGGCGGTGGTGTAGAAGATGGTGGACCGGTCGTTGACGATGTTCGAATAGACGCAGCGATGCTTGAAGGTCTTCAGCGCCTTGATGAAGATGCTGTCCGGATCCGCCAGCACGCTGAGCAGCGGGCGCCCCGTATCGCGAAAAGTGTCGATCATGAACAGCTGCTTCCCCGACATGGAGATCGTCCGGGGCCCCACATTGTTCCACAGGAAGCCCCAGGTCCCCTTCAGCGGGAAGCGCACCCCGACGTGCGGCGAGACGAAGGTGGTGAAGTTGACGGGCTCCAGTTTGTCGAGCCACCCCCGCGCGTAGAGCAGTCCCAGGGCGTATCGCGCCACCAGCCCTCCGAGCGAATAGCCGACGACACTCAGTTTCCGGATGTTGTGGCCTTCTTCGGCGAGTCGCTCCAGGGTCTCTTCCACCTCGTGGGCTAAGCGCTCCCCGCCGAGCTCAATGCCATCGTAGGTGTAGTTTCCGGAGTTGCGCTTTGCGGCGAGGATGTGGAGGCGGTCCTCCTTGTATCGGTCTCTCAGGGAGGTGGCGATGAAGTCCAGGTGGGAGGGATTACCCCATAGTCTGACGTGACATGACGGTCAGCAGAAAATCTCGTTGTCTGCATTAGTCGAATGGTCTTCTTACCCATGGACCAACACGCAGAGATGATCTGCTTTGCGCGACGTCTCAGCCGGCGTACGGCCGTTATCAAGCTCCAGCTCCATAGTCAATATGTGGAAGTCAAGAGTTTCCTCTTGCGATCAGGGTCAACGGGCGGTTTATGTAAGACCTCCTCAACATTATCCGCCAGACTCCGCCGGATTTAGGCACGGTTTTATCGCGATTAAAGGGGCCATGTGGCTGCTTCCTTCGTTGTCCGACCGTCAAGCATTAAGTTCCCTCGCAAAGGGGAGCCCAGCAAGCGCTGACTCAGCACGATAACGAGACGTCATGTCCTGGTGCCTGATGCAATGAATGGCCCAGAAGGGCCGGTGGCAGTTCATATCAGGTGTCTCGGGCTGGGCTTTACATGGAGCTGGTGAGGCTGAGCACTGCGCAAAACACATTCAGGTAAGTCACTGCCGTCACTGCCGTCACTGCCGTCTCTGAGCCTCCGAATCTTTCAAATGATGGATGGTGATTGAGGTTGAGGATCAGCAAGAGGGTGCGCCTTTGTCTGTTCGTGTCTGGTGTTTGCATCATTTGCACCGCGTTCATCTCCAACACGTGCAGTCAGTCTAGCCTTTGGACGCTTTCCCTTTCGACATTCCACTCAATATTCTCTTTGTTATTCGGATCTATGAAGGACTGAAGACAGACTGGCTACCTTGGCTAGACCCTGAGCAATAATTCCCTGCTCACTCACATCTCAGTTCGACATGATCTTCTGTTTTTAGCTCCAGGACTAGCCGCATCGCTTCTCCCCCGCGGCTTGCCAAACACCGAGTCATTTATCCATACAAGAGAAGCGCAGCGCCCGATTGGTCTCTGCTTGGATGCTTGCTGTGTTGCAATGAGTATTGGTTGTCACTCTTTTGGACTATGATCTCTCATCTTTGCCTGTATCTCTCCTTGAGCATCTTATCTTTACCTACTCCTCACAATGTTCGCCCCCCTCGGCTTGTTTAAGGACATACCTTGTCCGGAGGGCCAGAGCTGCTCCCTCTTGACTTGCATGTTCTCTCACAAGGATTTCGCTCCAATTGATGATAGCCAAAAGACCACCTCGGCCGTTGTCCATGCATCAACTACGAAGCATGGAAATGCCGCGTCGTTGGGGAATTCCGCCCACACAATGTCAGCCGCCGCAGATACGAATGAGAGAGAACCGAAGATCTTGAAGAGGGATTCTCCACCAGCCCCATCCAAAGCTGCAGGCTCTGGGCCAAATGCTTCGGCCAAGTCTTCACCCGCGCCTCAGCCGCCGGTGCCTTCACAGCCGGTCAAACTACAGTCACTGTCTCGAAGGGTCTCTCCGCCACCGAAGCCAGCATCAACAGCGGTCAAGACGAATGCGCCTACGCCTGTAAAGCCCCCGACAGCGGGGGCGGCGAAGTCGCGCCCGCCGAGGCAGGCTCCCCGGGAAAGTTTGAATCCCCGCATGTTGACGAAAGCGCCCGCGCCGCATGGAACCAGATTGTCCATCCTAACGAAACTGCATGCTGCCATGTCTTCGCAGAACGAGAAGATCGCCAAGGACAAAGACAGTAAAGACAAATGGCTTGTTCTCACACCCAATGAGCTCATCACAATGGCTCTGGACGAAGAGGAGAAGACCGCCCGGGGCAATCCGAGCATATACGCTAATGTTATCAAGCTTCGCATCGTCCGGTTCATGAAAATGACTAAAGAGGAATGGACGACGGAGGTCAAGAATCACCTGAACGAGCGGTACTACAAAATCGACCCCAACGCGGAGCAGTCGAGGCCGCAGGCTCTTAGTACGGGGTTGAGCGCAGAAGCGGAGATTGCACTGGCAGGTCAGCTGGTTACTCCAGTTGAAGGGCTTGAACAATTTGGATATGTCACAAAGGCACCTTCAGCTGCGGAAATCGAGAGTGCCAAGAAAGGTGTCGCGGAATCGAAAGGCTGGGAGAAGTGTGATCGGTGCGGTGGGAGGTTCCAGGTCTTTCCAGGCCGTCGCGAGGATGGCTCTTTGACGTCCGGGGGAGAATGTGTTCACCACCCTGGGAAGCCGTTCTACCCTCCAAGAAGACAGACGGATCATATAACAGGACACAAGGAAGCTTACTATTCATGTTGTAATGAAACGTTGGGTACTTCTTCTGGCTGCACCAGAGGCAAGACTCATGTCTACAAGGTTTCAGAAACCAAAAGACTTGCTTCTGTTCTCCAGTTCACGGAGACGCCAGCTCAGCCATTCAAGGGGCCACTTCCACCGGTCTGCTTCGACTGTGAGATGGGCTATACCACGTTAGGATTGGAATTGATCCGACTAACCGCGGTCAGCTGGCCTCAGGGCAAGCCACTTTTGGATGTTCTCGTCAGGCCGATGGGGGAAGTATTGGACTTGAACTCGCGGTTCTCTGGTGTCTTTCCTGAACACTACACCAAGGCTATGCCCTATGACGGTTTCCAGAAGGAGGCGGAAGCGACACCACATGAGAATGATGAGGCAGAGGAGCCAACCTTGAAGGTTGTCGATTCGCCGGCTGCAGCCCGCGCTCTGCTATTTAGTCACCTTCAACCGGATACGCCGTTGATCGGACATGCGATCGACAACGACTTGAATGCTTGCCGGATAATCCACCCGACAATCATCGATACCGTTATGCTATATCCCCATCCGCGCGGATTACCGAATCGGATGAGCCTGAAGACCTTATGCCGAAGACATCTCGACCGCGACATACAAACAGGCGGTAGTCTCGGTCATGATTCGAAAGAGGATGCAATTGCTACAGGTGACTTGGTCAGAGTGAAGGCAGTTGAGACCTGGAAGGTGCTAAAGTCGAAAGGCTGGCAGATCCAAGGCGACAAACTAGTGCCCCCACCGGGGACAGAGAAGGCTGAAACTGGAACATCAGCGGGGAGGCTTGGACCCGGTGCCGGTCACAAGAGAACGAATGCTAGTCTGGGCCCGTAAAGTAACGTCGTTGAGACAAGCCGCTATACTGCAATTATCCTTATATAATGTGATACCCATCCTACGTCTACGTGCCAAAAAGAGGGTGAGATATAGGTTTGCTTCATTGATTCATATCTACCATTCATAACGTCATGAGTAGATCGAGCGACGACAAACCCAGCGAATGAGTGTGGAGGTCGCCTTTTCAGGTGTAAAACGTCCACTGCCTCGAATCCAGACTGAGCGAGAAGCCACGCAGGAATCCCTCCCAATGCGCACACCCATAATCTCCAACCAGACTCATCCATCCTAATCCCGGTGCATGGAAAAATTTGACATTTCGCAGACCCCCCAATAGCCGGAGTAAAGTGTCCAAGTCTGATCATTTTTTCCGCGTTTTTATTTTTGGTTGTCTATTTGCTGCTTCTAGAAGAAGAGAGAATTTACTCCTCGTCCTCCTCACCCTCGTCGTTGACGACGTTGTAGAAGCGGAGCTCGTAGACACCCTTGGAGGTGGAGACGACGCGGAGCCAGTCACGGAGCTGCTGCTTCTTGAGGTACTTCTTGGTGCTGTTGAGAGGCGAAGAAGACTGAATCAGCGATTCGCTCTCGCCTGACTTTTCGGAAAGGTGGACTTACAGGTACTTGAGGTAGCGGCCAGAGAAGGGGATGTGGGCAACAACCTCGATCTTGCCCTCACCAGCCTGGGAGATGACGACCTTGTCGCCGAGGTTGCCGACACGGCCCTCGACCTTGATGCGGTCGTGGAGGAACTTCTCGAAAGCAGAGAGGTCGAAGATCTTGTCGCTCACGGGTTGGGAAGCGTTGATGACATACTACGGAGGGAAAAAAAATTAGCTTCATGCCTTGATTTGGATGTTTTGCGATTGGGGGCTCAAACATACCTTCTGGGTGACCTTCTGGGCCTTGCGACCACGAGCCTATTGTCGGGGGGAAAATACCATTAGCCTACTGCTCCATGATGGCGAAATCCCAAGAGAGGTTCATGTATCCATGATCCCAAAGAATCTTTTTCAGTCCTCTTTTCCGTCTGGAAATGTTCCAGCGCCAGCGCCAGCGCCAGTGCCAACGCTATCATGTCCAGACGGTCATGGATAGATGAACTCTCATGGGGGAACAGCAAAGCGATTTGTGGAAAGGAAACATACAGCAACGGGAGCCATTGTGACTGTAGGGGGGATTTTCTCGGGGGATAGAGAGAGAAAGTAGCTGGTCGCAAAGAGGTGAGTATCCTGCGCCTGATGGGAGTTGGGGGGGAAAGAAAACGTCCGCTAGGGTACGGGATGGTCAGATCTCGCTGCTGAGGGTCGAGTGCGCCCCACTAATCCGCTTCGGGCAATGTGGCTAGGGCTTGATTTTGTTGATTAGGGCTTCCGCTCGTCATATGACTGGTCCGGAGTTGTGGCCTGGTTATTGAGGCATTAATCATTCTGTCCTGCCTGAGGCAGAAGGTGCCTCGCTTCTGGTCGAGGTAGCCGACGCTAGTGCGCTAGCGGCGCACGGACCTCCTTGCCGACAGGATAAATACCTCTCGCGGCCCGCCTCTCTTTAGACCTTTTCTTCTTTTCTTCTCCAGCTCTCTTTGCCTTTTGGCTTAGATCAAGTGTAGTATCTGTTCTTTTCAGTTTAATCTCTGAAAGTGTTCTAAGGAACACAACATTGATTAATCTTATTTTTGTACCCTGTGGTCTGACCTCTGTGCTTGCGCATGTCGGACCACACAGTGTCATTGGGCTTACACTACCCCCAATCGACGCGAACCACCTTTTTTTCATCAATTCTGTCGGCTTGCCGACTAGTTGGAGAAGAAAATATCCTCCCTCACTTGGCTTGAGCCACAATCTACACATCGTAGTTCCTGATGCCATTCCCGTGTTTTTCCTCGCTGTAGATGTAAATTGAAACGCCTGGAACCTTCGCGGAGAAGTAAAACGCTACCCAATCGTCCCCCGCCCACTGCTCTTCCTCATCTGTCCTCCACGTGATCCCGAACTACATCTCTCGTTCGTGACTGCAACCACTTCCTCGCGAATCCCACGACTAGCACCAGAATCGCATCCGTAGTTCATCATGGGTTCCGTCGTGTTGCCGCACCTGCGTACCGCCTGGCACGTCGACCAAGCCATCCTGTCCGAGGAGGACCGACTTGTGGTGTGTACCGCATCTACTACTTCCCTCCTTCCGACACCCAACTGATAAACCAATGCTCGTAACAGGTCATCCGATTCGGTCGCGACCATGATGTCGACTGTAAGCTCCTTCGTTCTCACCCTCCGTCCTACATCAGCTAACCCTCCGTACCAGGCATGCGTCAAGATGAAGTCCTCTTCAAGATCGCCGAGCGGGTCAAGAGTACGTAGAATCACCCCACTCCAACCCCCCCAGGCACTTCTTTTGGCAGCAAGTGATCACTCACACCAAGGCTGTATTGACAGACTTCGCCGTGATCTACCTCTGCGACATCGACGAGGTCCCCGAGTTCAACACGATGTACGAACTCTTCGACCCGATGACCATCATGTTCTTCTACCGGAACAAGCACATGATGTGTGATTTCGGCACGGGTAACAACAACAAGCTGAACTGGGTGCTCGAGGATAAGCAGGAGATGATCGATATCATCGAGACGATCTACAAGGGAGCCAAGAAGGGCCGCGGTCTGGTGGTTAGTCCTAAGGGTATGTATTCCTTCCTATCGGTTGTTCGGTTGCGTTACGGTCGATGGTGATCTATGGGGGATTTACTCGATGGCTGACTGACTGGGTATGTAGATTATTCGACGAGATATCGTTACTGAGTTGGTTGGTTGGGTTGGTCGCGGTCTTGGGTGTGGGTGCGTGGAAGGCAGGGATGGGAGGTTATTTTGTGTTGTTCTTAGTCTAATGAGTTTATGAAATGGGTAGAGCAGCTGGATATGCGGTTGCCGGCGAGTACTGTTCTACAATAGATGGTTGTTGGAATATATTAGATTGGCTGCAAAGTCCCGTTGTAGTGTTCGTTCGCGATTTGAAGATATAAATCTGATACTCAGAGCTCTCTCCGTGATGCAATATATCTTGCTCCCAGAAGCTCCACAAGATAGACATACTAACACTCGAATGATTAGACTGCAACAATCCAACACTTTCACATCAAGCAAGTCAGAACATTAGCCCATCTGCTGCGATTCGTTTCCAAAAATCGTCACAATTGAACTAAATCGAGCGAGCGGGAGAATCTCCTTCCTCCCTTCCTCCCTTCCACCTCTCGCCCCACAATTTCTTCCTCACGGCGTTACCTGACGTAACAATCAAACCCCCCTCTACCACATCTGAGTCGAGACGATCAGAGAGAAATCAGACCCCACCAACAATTCCAACGATCCAGAAAAAAAGATATTCAACATGATCGACCACCAAATCTTCGAGGATCTCCAGTCGAAGATCGACGAAGAGACCGCCGTCCGCGATGTAAGAAAGCGCAAGCTCCGCGCCAAGCCCACCGCCCCCCAGCGAAAAAGCAACGGCGACTGAATAGCTTCCAAACAGGAACTTCATGATATCGTGCAGACGCTGGCACGAAAGGGTACCTATTCCTTCCCAATAGAAAAGCTTCCTATGGGGGCTAGATGGCGCGAAAGGAACACACGTCCTCTGATGACTGGGTACAGGACGATCCACGCAAGCAATTCTTTCGCGCGCCCACTCGACGCCTGCTGGTCAATGTATGTATCTTCAGGCTTTGGATTCGGGTCCTTGGGGCTTGAAACCTGGGAAGGTAGCTGATAGGGATGGGCAGTGAACCCCGTTCTCGGCGATGTGACCAAGGCGATCTTCGCTCAGAGAGATGAGGTCGCTCGGCTGAGGGATGTAGCGGATAAGCACCCTTTCTACAAGTACAATGGGGTGTGGACGCGGGAGCTTCAGAATTTGGTGCGTGCGTTTCCTCCGCCTATTCCTCTCCGCGGCTCTCGTTATGTCGCTGCTGCTGGTGGGGTGTCATGGGCAGAGTCTCGGTGAAGATACGAAGGCTAACCGCCGGACTAGGTCTCGTCGATTGAGCTCTGCGCCTGGCTAGGCGGTCTGGGAGAGTACAAGTCGAGCCCCTCGGCTTCATTCTTGACGATCGAAGAGATGGGAAAGTTTCTGGGCGGTGAGTTTCCGATGGCTTTAAGTCTGGGTAAGAAGGTGTTTTTGTGAAACTGACGACTGTCTACCCCGCAGTGCCTGTCAACCTGAAGGAAGAGGATGCTTTCCATCTGACCATTGAGGAATATCTCCTCGCGTTGATTGCTATGGTGGAAGAACTGGTCAGTGCTCCCACCCCTCTCAAAAATGTCTCTAAAAATCTGGTACAGTCTCGTCTTGCGGTCAACTCGGTCACATTGGGTGACTACACTCGCCCCATGCAGATCAGCAACTTCATCAAGGAGTTGTTCGCTGGCTTCCAGTTGCTAAACCTGAAGAACGATATCTTGCGCAAGAAAAGTGATGGGATCAAGTACAGTGTAAGTATTTCCCGACTGCTGCTGTTGGATGGCATGCTGATTGGCTCGTGATACAGGTCAAAAAGGTGGAAGACGTTGTCTACGATTTGTCGCTGCGCAACTTGATTCCCAAGGATGGTGCTACTGCTTGAGAAGATTATTTTACAACTGCGTTGGACGGATCTCAACGACTTTGATGGGTGTTCGCAGAGCTCATTCCAGTCTGTTTCATATTAAATCAATACACGGAACAAGATTGCTCGTCAGAGTCAAAACGAGCATTGTATTCATGAAAACCACCACCTAAAAGACACAGAACAAAAAACAAGGAAATGGTATCACACTTGAAACAACTCACGCAACTTCCCACGAAACCGAACTAGACTCTCCCAACGTAATCCGACCATTATGCCCTTTAGAGGTTGGCCTCAGCACCCTCAGCAGGAGTAGGCGCGGCAGCCGCCGCCGTAGCAGTAGGAGCTTCCTCAGCTGCAGTAGCACCCTTGGTCTGGGAGGCCAGCTTGCCCTCCTTCCGCGCCTTCTCGATCTCCTGGACGATGGTGTCCTTGAGCGACTCGGGCTTGGTCAGACTGGCCCAGCGGCCGACCACCTTGCCGTCGGCGGAGATCAGGAACTTCTCGAAGTTCCACTTGATGCGCTTCATGCCCAGCAGGCCCGGCTGCTCCTGCTTCATCCAGGTCCACACGGGGTGGGCCTTGTCGCCGTTGACGTCGAGCTTGCCCAGCACGGGGAAGGTGACGCCGTAGTTGAGCTGGCAGAAGGACTGGATCTCATCGTTGGACCCGGGGTCCTGGCTGCCGAACTGGTTGCAGGGGAAGCCCAGGATGGTGAAGTCCTCCGGGTACTGGGCCTTGAGCTCCTGGTAGAGGGTCTCGAGCCCCTTGAACTGCGGGGTGAAGCCGCACTTCGAGGCGGTGTTGACGACGAGGACGACTTTGCCCTTCACGTCGGTGAGGGGGAAGGGGTTGCCCTTCTCTGTTTCGAATCAGAAGAACGAATTAGTTGAAGCAAAGAGGAAATTTGGGGAAGCTTTTGCTTTTTTTTTTTTTTTTTTTCTTGGTATGTGGAGGGGTAGATGAGCGGGGAAAAGGGAAAAAGGAAAGGTGCAGGACGTACTATCGACGGGCTCGAAGTCGTAGAAAGTGGTAGCGGAAGACATGTTTGCGAGGGATGAACTGAGTCGCAGATGGTGGTGCGTTGGTGAGAGGGTGAAGTATAGTTGTAGTTGTGGTGGTTGTTGTTGTTGTCGCGAAGGACGAGGACGAGGAGGAGTCGCAAAGAAGTAGGAGTTGCTGTTGCGGAGCGGGGAAGGAAGTGAAATGCAGGATTGCGCAGGGAACGAAGGAAGGATTAACCGTGGTGTGACCGATGGTTTATATGCGATGGACACAAGCAATGGTCGGCGCATGGGGGGAAATACTTTTTTCAAACCGTCTGTCGGGTTGTTTCTGTACCAACAATCCAGATAATAATTACTTCTCGGATGTTCAATGAATTTGTCTGGACCACACGTCTCTATCGGGGGTCGACGTTTCCGAAATCCGAATGGAGACTACCTTAGTGGAAAGAAACTACTCCGAGTAAAACTGATTGACTAACTTACTTCAGTGATCAGAAGCAAAGGAAGAAAAAAGAGAGAGTAGGACGATGTCATCATCCTTCAGAACGGCGGGTCGATCGATTGGAATTGGGTTTGTCATCTTTGGCTGTCCAGAACATCCCCCGGTCCCGGTCCTATTGCTGCTTTGGGAGCCAGATTCCCTTTTTTTTTTGTGAACATGAACTGACATATGACCACTTGCTGCCCTTGTTCCCTCCCCCCCACTCCCTGCGCGGGGCAGAACATCCGTAGTATCTGGTACTAATTTAGAAGTGAATAATGACGGTTGCAGAATTCCAAATACTTTTTCTCCATTAAGCTACCTTACTACTCAATCTAAATGAACCGGACTGGAAATGGCCCGATAGGATTTAAGGGAAAGTGGAGTCTCATACCTAGGCTGACGAGCGTCGACCTTTTTCCGAAGCTCGTCCTGCTCTAAGCCTCTGATCCAATTATCCCGCCGGGTCTCGGGCTCCGCTTATTGTCAGCGTTTTTGTGGTTCGGTGCCTTGACATTCGATTTGAAATGTATTGTTTGAGGCTGTGCTTGAGTCTTATGAAAGGTATAGATGTACATGAAGCCAGCATGTGCTTGCATAAACGTCTTCAGACAAATCAACCCGAACCAACCCAGCCGGTCAGACGTATGTCTCCGAGAGGCGAGAAACGAAGAATCTCGTGTCAGCCACCGCTAGGACGACTGAATCCTTGCGCACTAACCGCACATATCTCACTGTACAGCCCCCTCCGAGGCGTGCACTTTGGGCTTTAGAAGAATCCTCTGACGACCCTGCATGCCAGTTTCCAGGGCTTTCTGCAAGCCCCTGCCGCAGAATCCCTAACAAGGCCCGATCGGGCCCGATACCGGATTGCCTGATCACACTGGGTTTGAACGATTCCTTCCTGCCTTTTTGCGTGATGCAGTTGGACCATCTATTGTAGATAGAATTGGCCGGCCGAGGAACTTCTTCGTCCCTTTCACTCTTTGCTCTCTCCCACCCAATGTCGATATTGAGGTAACCCCCCTCGTATCTTTTTTTCTGTCCCAGCCCGAACTCATTTCGCATCCCCCATTTCCAGCACATCCACGTCCAGCTCCTCCATGACCCCAAGCACAACTCCTAGACTCTCCATGAATCCGTTGACGGCGACGCGGAGCATCCGGTTCGTGGTCGCATAGTACGTCGTCTCCAGGACGGTCTTCGCCGCCTCCTCGGCGGCTTGATCTCTGTCCGGGCTGGTCAGGGTCAGGGTGCGCTTGACGAAGGGGGAGAGCTCGGCATCGACTTCGAGTGTACGGAGGGCTGACGAGGCGAGGCGGTTGGTTGGGAGAGGAAGGGAGATGGTCCTGTTTGCGGCGGTTGTCAGAATTTTGTTAATCGCGGGGGGTGCCTCGGGAGGTTGAGAGCTCTGGAATCGTCGCGAAGGGAGCTACTCACAAGTTGTAGGGAAATTCGGTGGCGGACACGGAAGCACTCATTTTGATTTGCGGGACGTGTGAACGTGGTCGGGGGTAGGAGGGCAAGCTTGGTAGCTGGCGATGGCGATGGTTATGGGGCGTGTATTCTGGTCGGGGGATCAGAATCGAGCCAGCCCGCTGAAGCCTGGGCGGGGAGAAGTGGGATGGATGTTCGATAAGAGATGAGTCAGCTTTGGTGCCTAAGGCTAACATTCTTGATCCTGGTGCCCATAACTGAACATTACTCGCTTTGGTCAATGTTGTGACGTCTTCAACCTTGGACATTGGCTGTTTTCCTGGGGCAAAATAAGGAGGCTTGATTTACCCAGCAGTATAGTTGGTTTTGCTTCTACAACTTGCATTTGTGTAATTGGGCAGCAAGCTTAACGCTCTCATCATTGTCTGCCTGGGCTCCATCCAAGAGATGCAAGACGACCGTTTACATTGGCTACTAAGGCGATTTACATTGGACGTCCTGGGCACCGGTGGGGAAGAATCCCTGTTGGTTGTTGTCGTACCATGCCCCGGGTTTTTCCCCGTCTTGCCCGTCGGAATTGAGATGAGATCAATAGATCTGTTGGATTGTTGGAGAAAAAGTACTTGTTTGAACAATAGCCCATTATAGACGTTCTTTTCGGAATCGCGATGTGTTTACACAATGGAATTGTCCCTTGAGTGATGGCGATACTGGAGAATTGGTGCTGGAATCATTGAGCTGGCTCTCCGTGGAGACTTTCATCCAAGCTCCGTAGATACATTGAGGGGGGCAGGGCAATGCCTTGGCCGTTGATGTTCATGTACCTGACGGGATATATATTGATGATGAAATCGTGATCCCTCCGGAAACAATGACCTCAATCTCCTCAATTGGTGGCTGGACGAGTCAAGTGAGGGGCAATGACCTCAGATTATTGGGCTTTTGCAACTGCACGCACCAAGGCAGCTGCAGATAGCGGAGTCAACATAAACTATTGCATTTGGACGGCGAGAGATTAAGTTGGACTGACAACGGAAGGCCATAACAGTGACAGAGTAGGGCCATAACAAAACACCGGCAAGGCGGCGCTCACGTGGCCGGGCCGCTCAATGTTGTTTTTGGGGGAGGGGGAGGGAGGCTGGAACCGAGATTTGTTGTGTTTACGGGACGGGGTGTTTGTTTGTTAGGGGATATGGATAGTTACTACGGAGTACGTACTAGTAAACTTACACTTTACTGGGTAACGGGAAGTTAACTTAGCAGTTACTCCGTAACTAACCCCCCTGTCAGCTTATCTAATAGGATCCCCGGAGCCTGAGGCATTCTACGTTTCCCTGTCAACCGCCCGCACTAGACCTGAATGGGTTCACCACAACATAACAGTAGCCACTTAGCGTGCATCGCAGTTGCCCCAAACGAGTCTCCCATCGGCCTCGAGCCTATCCTCTTCTCGTGCAAGCCAACTTTTTCCCTCACCTTCCTCTCTTCCTCCCTTCGTCCTCTCTGGTTATTATAAACTCGACCTTCGCCCACCCCGCGGATCATCTGTACATCCTCCCCTACTCGGCCTTGCTGCCTCTATCCTTACCCTACACGCCAATCCCCCCCCCGCGTCTTTATAGCCTCATCTTGTGCTTGGGAGTGTCAATCAGACCAGACCATGACTATCTAGCTCCGACATCTTGCTTGCATCCCATCTCTGTTCTTCACCAGCAGAGGTCCTGACCATCCATAGCGGCATCTTATCTATTTAGACCGACACATCCTATAAATCCTTCTTTCGAAGAGGTCTTGCGATTGTTTATTATCCAATTCCATTGTCGGCGCCTATTGTTTTGGTAGCCGCGTCAATACAGTCAAGATGTCTACACGCAGCGGCGATTATGGGCAGGTGATTGAGTATATTCAAGGTTCGTTATCCAACATCATCTTGGGGAAGCATTGGCGGGAGATGTGAAGGTCTTCGCTTGTTATCCGATGGCTTGTGTTTGCAGTGTACTGAGAATCTTCGCCCTAGACCGTCTCTACCTGGCCTCTTACGATTATCCCCCCGATGCGAGAACGCCTTTTCCCTACCCTGAACAACCCAAGTCTCCCAGCAAGCGATCTGCCAGAGCTCAGCCCAGTACTCCCAGCAGCAAGAAACGCAGCCCCGTATACTTTACTGTCGACGATGTTCTCCTATACAACTCCTTCCACGCCGACTTCGGTCCTCTGCATATCGGACATCTGTATCGCTTCGCAGTACACTTCCACGAGATCCTGGGAGATCCCGCGAACACTGATCGCGCCGTGGTTTTCTACTCCAAGACGGACTCGCGCAGCCGTGCCAATGCAGCCTGCCTAGTCGCTTGCTATATGGTCCTCATCCAATCTTGGCCTCCACACTTGGCCCTGGCTCCCATCGCACAGGCAGATCCGCCATACATGCCATTCCGCGATGCTGGATACAGTCAGGCGGATTACATCCTCAACATCCAGGACGTTGTATACGGAGTGTGGAAGGCCAAGGAGCAGTCGCTCTGTGGCTTGAGAGATTTCAGCCTAGAAGAGTAAGAGCAGCCTTACGCGTGTTTTTAGTTCAAACGCTGACTGGGTGACTACATAGGTATGAGAAGTACGAGCGTGTTGACATGGGTGACTTCAACTGGATCACTCCACAGTTCCTGGCCTTCGCTTCCCCGCAACACCAACCCATTGATGTCATTCCTCGTGACACTCCTGAATATGCTGCGCTGCCTTCTACCATTGCGGAAGTCCAGGCCTCGAAACTCCCCACGCCCTTTAAGAATGTTTTGACCCACTTCTCCTCCCGTAGCGTGGGCCTTGTTGTGCGACTGAATTCCGAGTTGTACTCGCCATCATACTTCACTGCATTGGGAATCAATCATGTCGACATGATCTTTGAGGACGGTACTTGCCCGCCTTTGCCTTTGGTACGCCGATTCATCAAGATGGCGCACGAAATGATCACGCAGAAGAAGAAGGGCATTGCGGTCCACTGTAAGGCAGGCCTTGGCCGCACTGGATGTCTCATTGGGGCCTATCTCATCTACAGATATGGCTTTACTGCCAATGAGATTATTGCTTTCATGAGATTCATGCGCCCTGGAATGGTCGTTGGACCCCAGCAACACTGGCTGCACCTCAACCAAGGCTCGTTCCGCGAGTGGTGGTTCGAGGACAGCATGAAGGAGAAGCTCGCTCAACTGCAGTCGGCGCCTATCACGCCTGGCCGGCCGACTACCCGCCAGCGGGCTAACGGGCCTGTCGCGACTCCACCTAACAATGGCCATTCTAAGCGTGCCGCTCTCGGGGAGATTGACCACAATGAGGGGGCTGGCACTCAAGCCGAAGAGAACCTACCAGCACCCACACCCGGCCAGCCTCGCAAGTCCCACCGCAAAGACTCTCGTCACCACCCCTACTCTCGCACCACTTCTGGTAGTCTGATCCTGGAAAAGGAGACGAACAAGACATCCAATCGCCTCAGTACCGACAGCAGCGAGAGTGAAGAAGAAATCCAGTTGCGTATGCTAGCCAAGCGTTCCTCAAGATCCCCCGTGGCATCTCCCAACCAGCGGTCTGTCAGCTACTCAGCTACTGTGACCGCCAGTTATACTCTCAACGATGATGATCGGGAGAACTGGGGTGATTCAGCTACATATGCACCCAAGACACCAATAAGCAGCAAGAGCGGCAGCGGGGCGATCTCTGTCACCAAGGTTCGCACGAGCCCAAGACGTGTGACGGATAGCCGCGCAGAAAAGGGCGTTCGCAAGGCTAGTGGACGTGTTGGCAGCGCTGGAAGTCCTACTCGAGTGAAGTGAGAGCGCGATTGATCGCTGCCCCTTTCATCATCTTTGCTTTCCTTCCTTTGCTTTCAGATATCCACTTCGTATTGTTTATTCTCTTCTTCTCCGCGGGCCATAATCTGTGCATAGACCAAATTTTCTTGTTTTATCATCGGCTTGCATATCTGCATTGTCTATTCCTCTTGAGGGAGTAGTGTCTTCGAGGTTTCTACTGGTGTTGGTGTCTGGTGCGGTTCTCATGGGTCTGGGCAGGAGCTTCCAAGGCGTTCGGTGCGTTGTGGACTATGGGATGATCTAGAATTTTGACTCAATACAATAAGTCTAGTGATTAGCACGTTATGATCATGACAATTGACACTGTACGTATACGATCTACGTCGGAATGACAAATTGGTTGATGACCGATCACGTAAATGACATAAGCGTTCATATTGCCTGAACTTCCAAGAATCTCCGAAGGATCGATTAACTACCTTCTGACAGCTTGTCTCCGTCCTGGTGTTGTGGCCCTTGCATTGTCTTATAGAGACATCCTATTGTTGTACCTTACTCCCTTGATAAACCCCCTTCCCAGCCTGATATCTCTAACCTCGACGTGGATTTCCCCGCACCATACCGATGCCTTGCCTCCCTACCCCAATAGTGACCGTGCCGAAGCGCATAGGCTTTCCATTCTCTGACCCGATCAAGAAGTACGTTGATAAAGATCAAGTTGGCAAGCGGACTAAGACAGTTATGAATACCGGCTACGAGGACCTTACAATTACCTTAATTCCGATTTCTACATGGAAGCATTAGTAGTCTCCGATCACAGTAATTCCAATTATGTATGTTAAGCCCTAGACAACGTACCATGCCTGTGCAAGTTAGTCTCACAGCCAAGGCGAAGAGAACCGGAGGCACCTGAGCCCATAGTCCCGGAAACCACGCACGCTATGTGATCAGGCCGCCCTGCCACTTACTGTACTGTACTGTACAGTCTCGACAACGACAAACTACATGCCAGTTTCCTTCGGCCATCTACCCAGTATCAGCACCGTTCAAACCTATTCTAGTTTATTTAGTGCAAAAAACCCGAAGTTTTTTCATCGATAATGCCGTGATACGTTCCGCTGAGAGTCTCGTCAGCACGGCATCGCAACGAGATTACCTCGTCCGTGGTTGCATAAGGAGTGGTATCGAATGCCAGGCAGGGTCATGCGTGGCTCGATGTAGGAAAGTGGTTGACGGTGACGGTATTGGAGCGAGAGGATTGGGATGGGGCTCGATTAGAAAGAAAGCCATCCTGGGTTTGTTTGCGGCTGATGGGGAAGTCTGTGAGAAGCTTGCAATATTCTCAGAAATTGCTCCGGGTCGTAAGAGTTGAGGCTATGCTTGAAGCAGGATGTACAGATTGTGCATGGAGTATTATGGACTGTCTCTGCGATGGACGATGGACCCACGGTTGGGGTTATGCGGTAGCTGGAATCGGGTACTCGGACATGTGGCGCGGGAGTGGATATAGAGTGCCCTTTTCGAATGGTGAAATTGGTATGTTCTGAAGCAAGGGTCTGCTTGGGAACTAGAAATGTAGCACGTAGCTGACGCGTCTGGGATCATGCTGAGAAGGCAGGGCCAGAGATGCATAGAGAAGATTGAGCTGGGCTGATTCGAAACTCCTTCCTCGAAATGTCTACTTGGGGGGATTTGGTTTGCTCTGGTGTTACAATGCTGGGAAGTCTACACAGAACAGTGCAGTACAGTCCAATCTGTCTCTAGCAAGCCTCTTGCTCCTCACAAGCCCGGTCTCGACGCCACATTATGCTGATAATAGACCAGCCGGTTCCTTGTTGCCGCCCACACGCTCAGTCTCCGAAATAGCCCAGGCGAGGCACGGATGCCACTTCGCTGAAAGAATCTGACGAGTAGCATGGACGACATCTCTGGGAAGAGTGCCAAACCAGACACAGGTGCTCCGCCAATGCAAGATGATCATATAATTCGCGAGGACGCAGAGCGCCACCGGCGCGCCTACATGGACCTCGGTCCAGAACTCCGAGGTCACACACGTTGGGAAGTATCCATACGTCATATGCGTGTTATGATACTCAATCGCGATGAGAAGGGCTGTTCTCAGGGTTTGAAGGGCTGAGGTATACATCGTCGCGTGGGTCGTCGGGAGACCTGTTGCCGAGAGACGGCGCCGGATGGCGTCAAGCGCAGCCTCGATCTCCGCGGGAAGCTTGCGGTCTGGATCCGAAGGTGGCGGAGGATACAAGGAGACCCAGGGGGTGAGAGCCGATGAACCCTCGTGCTGGAATACGACACTGTGCGGGGACCGGTGCAGGAGAACGAGAATGTTGTGTATGGTTTCGATGGGGCTTCTGGAGGGTTGTTCAGTGCAGACTTGGATCCCGAAGGCATACGCGATCACGAAGCATTGGAAGGCGAAAAGCGCACCGACGGTGTCTGGGTTCTGGCCTGGATGGTTGTTGGTTAGATATGGCCGGACGGCGGCAGCTGCCAGACCGTAGTGATTGATCGCTAGAATGATGTGCTCCTTGCGGCGGGAGACGCCATGTAAAGCCATACCTAAGGCGCTGATGCTCAACAGCCCGTACTGGAGAAAGTCATACTGGGAGGCGAGCTCCGGCACCCGATCGGACCAGATTGAGGGATCCGTGTGTCCCGGATGGGTCACCTCGAGCATCGCTTTCGCCGTATGCAGGGTGTAGTGGTTCATCAGCCGTAACCGGTCTCGCTCCAAGGCCGACAGCGACTGCATTTCCGGCGCCGTCGTTCGGTCCGATCTCGCTGTGGATCCGGTGGTGTTGGACGATGACGGCGACGACGATGATAATGAGGAGAACGTAGTGGAAGTGTTGCTCGACCCAGCAGGTCTAATGAACGAGGCCAGGCTAGGCTCCCCCATCACAGCTTCATTATCAACTTGACCGCCCGTCGGCTGCTGAAATGGGATGAACGTGAGAGCAGGGGATTGACTCGTGAATGAACAAGCGGACCCTATTCTCTTGCAACGTCCACAGGTCAGCCTCTTCTCATCACACTGGATCGATAAGCATCCGGACTAGCTGCAAGGAACCGAGCACACCTTTGTCCGATTCCTCTTGCATTGTGAGCAACCGTGACGGCTCTTCTTGTGGAACCGTCGTCGTAGAGGCATTGGAGCAGGAGGGAGTACCGGTCGAGGGAAGTACCGGTACTTCAAACTGAGCAGACAAAATGCGAGTCTGTCCTACACAGATTATTTTGATCTTAGATCTTCTCTGAATCAGTGTCGTGATGTAATGATCTTCGGGTACCAGATTCGGAGTGGGTAATTGTGGAGCGAGGACAAGCAGATCTCAACTGACATAGTCCAAGTGTAGAGACCCCACTGGTCGTGGTCAGGGGTTTGAGGAGGTGGAAAGTGAAGGGATGAAAGAAAGAACGATTAAATCCGGGGGGGATGCGCAGGCGGGATTAGAACTAAAGTCCGTCCGCTATCCCCAGACTGGCACCTTGTCCTGTTAGTGACTGTCCTGTACATCATACATCATACAATGAAAAAGCAACTCCCCAGGTATAGAAATAGAAATCCCCATACCAACCAGATCCCCGAAAGAATAGATTGGGCAAGTACTTAAGGAGCGCATCAGACCAAACCAATGGACTTGATCATCTTGTACCACATGCCATCCCCAACCTCACATTCGCACCACCCCCTCCTCAATCCCCCCAAACTCCCAAACTCGCCCATCGCAATATGGTTAACCTCGACGTGATCCACGCCTCCAACACCACCCTGGTCAAGAGCCAACCCCTGGTAGCCGTCTTCTTCGGCGGCACCTCGGGGATCGGCCACTACACCCTGCGCGCCCTGGCCACCGCCGAATCGCAGCACCGAGGCAAAGGCCTGCGCGCCTATCTCGTGGGCCGCAAGGCCCCCGCCGCCGAGACCATCATCGCCGAATGTCGCACCCTGTACCCGGAGGGCGAGTACATCTTCGTCCAGGCGCACGACCTCTCGCTACTCCGGGACGTCGATCGCGTCTGCGCCGAGATCCTGTCCCTGGAACAAGAGCGAGAGCGAGAGCGAGAGCGAGAGCGCGAGCAAGGGCAACCAAGCGCCGCCCCGAATCCACGAATCGACTATCTGATGCTATCCCACGGCGGAGCGCCGTTCCAACCCAGAAAAGGTAAAAGTCTTGCTGGATTTCACTTCTTCTTCTTCTTCTTCTTCATCCTCGACAAAGAAACGGAAAGACAAAAGAAAATCAGTCAAGATCGATAGAAAAGGAAAAAGTCCTATGCTACTTGCTTACTTACGCAAAACCGCAAACGCACCCAGATACCGCCGAAGGCCTGGACACGACAATGTCCCTCCTCTACTACTCGCGCATGCGAGCCATCACCAACCTCCTGCCCTTACTCCTCCAATCCCTGTTGCCCGCGACAATCGTCTCCGTCTACGCCGCGGGCTTCGAAGGGAAACTCTACACCGACGATCTGTCGCTCCGTAATCCCAAGGTCTACAGCTACACGCAGGCGCGCTCGCATATGATCTACATGCACACGTGGTTCATGGAGCAGTTGGCCGAGCGGCACCGCGGCCGGTTGCGGTTCGTGCATATCTTCCCGGGCTTGGTGCTGGGGCCCGCGTTCGCGAACCCGGAGCTGCCGGCCTGGTTCCGGGGGTTCTGGCGCTGGGTGTTTGTGCCGCTTCTGGGGCGATGGGTGTCCGTGCCGGCGAAGGAGTGCGGAGTCCGGATGCTGAGCCTGGCGTCGCCGCGTTATCCGCCGCGAGAGGGAGGGGCAGGCGGTGCATCGGCTTCGGAGGGGGGTCATCACCAGAATAATGGAGATGTGATGATGGGAACGGATGGTCAGCTGGGGAGTGGGGTCTACTCGCTTGGCTGGAAAGGTGAGTCGAATATCCAACTCAAGGCCTACGAGAAGTTCGATCTGGCGGGGATGAGGGCCAAGATCTGGGAGCATACGATCAAGGCTTTCGAGACGATCGAGAGGGGAGATGTTTTCAAGGATTGAGATGGGGGTCTTTTGATGATACGGTTGTCTCAGTGTAATCAAGGGAGTAAGTCTACGCACATGACTGATGAATTAGTTTTATGGTAGCAAGCGATCCTCAAAGTGGGAAAGGTGGATGTAATATGCCAGGTACTGTACGTCATGGTGCGAACACAATTCTAAAATTGAGGAATGCGTTAATCTCTGGAACCTCTACACGACCAGCATGTTCGAATCTGAGACGGAAGTAAGAAGACAACTGCAGTAGCTGCGAAGCGGACCTCCGTCTGGACCCCAATCCCAACCCTGGGCATCTTCGAAGCGGTATCGCAGGTTTCACCATCTCTGTGTATATTCCTCCTTCGACAATTGTCGAGCCTGGTAAAGGTCCTTCGCCTGCTCCATTCCGCAACGGCACATCAAACGTCTTCTGCCACAGTCGTTACAGAATCTGGTTCTAGAGCACCTGTATTGTGTCAGTTCTCGAAGATCAGATAGCAAAAGCAGGAAAGCTCAAACGTACATTGTCGGGCTACAACCACTTGTTCTCTCTACTAGAGCCTTGCAGTCAAAGCACTGCTGCCAGCCTAAGTTGTTTTTTGAAGATGGGGGTTGGCTTAGAGCAGGCTTCTTATCACACTCATTCTTAAGGGGGGAGGCCGCTTTGCACCAAACACAGGTGGAGGTGCCGCAACAGAGGCATCTGGCCTGATATGCTGTGACCCGGTTGGGCGGAATCGGTACGCGGCACGTCTTCTTACTGCAGCGAGTCCAGTTGGTTGTCAAAAATTCAAGTTTTGCTTTGTCGTATTCGTAGAGTTCTTTTTCGGTCATGTACTCTTTTGCTAGACGCAGGGGTATCACGGTCTTGCAGCACGTGGGCGGGAAAAGGGATGGTTCCTGGGTAGCCCTGAAGAAGGAGCCCTTAAGGCACTTGACGCAATATAGATGATCGCATTCTAGCCTGATGGTGGGCTTCGCTGAATGGAAACGCCTTAAACATACACAGCATCGTGGTGCGAGAAACCATTCTTGAGAATAGGTCAAAACCGCTCTCAAGGTATCCATGTCTGTGTCGGGGATATCTGATGGGAGGGTTGGAAGATATATTTCGCTTGTCAAATGCTCGGTTCTAGACCGCTGTTTGTGGGTGGGGTTTGAGTATCGATCTCTGCTATCAAATGCAGCGAAGACTCTGCGCCGACTTAAGTTTGGTCCACCGCAGGCGGGAGAGAAGGATGCATATGACTCAAGCGCATGCAGGCTCTGGGTACTGATGAGATTGTGAAGGGGAGCTTGCGAGCAAAATGACCTGATGGACGACAAATGGTGTGGTCGCTTAGGTCATTGGGTGTCATCTCCCGGACAAGGACTTTGGGATGCGACCAGGAAGCGCTACTTCGCCACTCAAAATGTAAGTTTGACATATTGTTGCTATTCTTGTGTTTGACTGCTGATGAATGATGTTATAATGTCGAGGTGTCCCCAATCCAACGGAATCATGTTCCGGTAGTGCATCCGCCAGTAGAGAGCCGCGTGTTCCTGGACCAAATGGGCGAAAAAGACCACATTGAATCATGTCATCAGCAAGAATGAATGCGTTTGTGCACAAAACAGATGCATGTATTAATGCATTCTGTTCTCTGTGCTTTCATTCTGTCGAGTATTGGTGGCCACTGCACGGTAGGCGTGATATGCCTTTCTGGCTGGACTGCGTAGAGCTTTCATCCATATATGGGAGACTTCAATAATCGAGCGCGCTTGATTCTGCCTTTCAAACTCACGTCAAAAATGATAATCTCATAGGTCTGACCCTTGTCGCGCGAAACTGTCGCAGCCATGATCATTGGGCCCAATTCAAAGCTTTTGCCCTCAACCACTCTCATGTAGGGCACTGCTGGTCAACACCGAGAAGTAAAACGAGGCTCTGGTGAGTGATGATCAGTCGACACCAAAGTAGGCTCGCTCCGGTTAATGCTTCGAGCTGCGATACCATCGCTGGCGGAACTTTGGAATGTTCGGCTTGCTTTCTGTGGAGGACTAAACATGGGCACCGGGGATGAAGATAGGGAAAGAAAGTGGTAGGACGAAGACTTATCGAGTCAGCAGTGGCACGAGAAGTATGGGATGTGAACAAGCCAATGCATGGTGCATCAAGGTACTTTATCTGAGGATTGGTTCAAGAATACAGCATGTAACACAGGATTGGTTCCGAATGTAACCGGTTCAATTGCAGAGAATAAGGGTATCATATCAATCATGACTCATGAGCATAGATAGAAAATCGTGATTTCAGCCAGGATGCACTGTGCGACAAGCTGTGACGCAAATGAATCATGAGGAGAATACGAAGAGGGTATACCTCCGCGACGAGGGTAGGCCGGTGGCAGAAGATCAGGGCACATCATTCGACGGGCGCTTTCGAGAGTGCTGCTGCGAGAAAGTGTTGTAAAGTGTCGTTATGGCGCGAAATGTTGCTAAATCATACCATCCAAACGAAATCGTTGCTAGAATACGTCTCTTGCACGTAATAGGCTCGGAGGCAAAGTGGGCAGTTGAAATGGTCCTGTAGGTACCACTTCTCCAGGCATTCGCGATGGAAAACGTGTAGACACTTCAATTCTCGTATCTCTTGGGAGCGCTGGACGGACTCGAGGCAAACGACACTGTAGATTGACCGAGTGAGTAACGGTGATAATGGTGGTTGCTGGGCTGACCATACCACATGAACTGTCCGTCGGCGCCCTCGGAGGGTAGCTTGGCTCGCGACCACCAATCCTCCAGGGTACGAGCTGGTGAGACAGCGTCCAGCTTACGCAGCTTGTCGTGCGAGTCGCCTTTCCTGCTTTTGGCCTTGGTGGCGGGGCGACGCTCGCGGCGATTGACGAAAAGGCTCAAGCTGAGCCTCATTATTGTCTGTCAGTAATGGAGGGCAGAGGAATGTGGGCATTGACAGGTGAGGAGGAGGGAGGGAGGGAGGGAGGAAGGAAGGGAAGGGAGGGAGGAGAGGGAGGGAGGAGAGGGAGGGGCACGGGGGAGGAAGTAAAAAAAGGATGGAGCAAACAGCAACTTACAACAAACACATGATGACGAAGGTCACAAGTCCCAGACCTATGCCGAGAACAATGGCGAGATGGCTATACAGCTGGAGTTCTGATGAATTGTCCGACCACAACCCCATCGTCCTCACCGCAGGGACTATGTGGGCGGCCGCCGGGGGGGTGGTGGTGGTGGTGGAGGGGAAGGGAGTAGAGTACTTATTTTATTCTCCGGAGGAAAGAGAGAAAAGGGGAAATGACGAGGTTAAGAGGATTTCATCAAGTGAAGCTTGCTCTTTGCATAATATATACTTTATTCTCTCTCTCTCTCTCTCTCTCTCTCTCTCTCTCGATCGCAATTGTGTTCACCCAGTTTGATCGTCGTCACTTGGCGGGGCTTGCGCGCGCCAACCAGGCTTTATCAGACCATCATTTAAAGTCTCAATCAGCAGATGCCGGTGGAACGGAGCAATCCATTCATCACGGTCGGAAGTGAAAGAGAAGTGGCCAGTCCAGGTCGTGAAACACGAGAATGAGGGGAGAAAGGAAACAAAGGAGAGGATAGATAATTGAGAGCGAGAGACATTGCCACCACTGCCACAATTGTACTCCAGCCGCAATCCCATCTTGAAGCTATCCCCGAACGTTTTCTCTTTTTCTATGAGTATTTCATTTCCCACCCCCTCATGCATTCATACTCCATACATGCCTTGTCTTTGCTCTAATTCATCTAATTCTGCGGAATGACCAGATGTGACCAGATGTGGACCTCCCTCGCCTCTGATTGCCTTCTTTACATTCTCTAAGAATTCTTCCCCATGCAGCTCAACCCAAGTAGAAGCCGAGGCAGCCACCGTGGACCAAGACAGTCTAAAGCATGCTGGTGACCTTACTTTACTTAAACTAGGTGCATACATACATACATACATATAGCTAGCATGATCACTGCAGCCTTTGCCTGGAGAGTGAAACCCGTGACTGGGAGCCAGCCACGGCCCAAGGGTTCCCACTGGTCATGCCATGGAGCCATGGATGTCGTGTCAGGTCATGCCACGACGATCCGGTCCAGTCAGATAAGGTAGTCTCGCGCAACTTCCCTTCAAGCGATCATGACGCAATCTACCTCAATTATGTCTTCTTCTCATCCAATTCTGGAGGGTGGAGGATGGTGAAAGATAACGCGACAGTACAAAAAACCACCCTCCCCGCATATCGAACACAGTAAGCGGTAAGTTAACTACCCGGTAAGCGACTGCTGTCATACGGCGCAATCAATAAGGAGGCCGACTTGGCAAACCGCTACAATTAAGCACGGTAGTCCTGGTCATCGCGGCGAGGAGTAGGTGCCTAACTTACTGGTTACCTACTGATCTCGGGTCCGAGCAGCGCCAATCCTGTGCCCCCATGCATCATATCCCTCCCTTGTCGCCCGTGTCGGTCAGTGATCACCCATTTTGCGGGGAAATAAACATCGCCTCCACCCATGGCTAAGGAGCATGCGTGGTGACCACTTACAAGTGATCTGTTTCCCCACTCCAAGGATTACGGATTTCCGCGGTCTCAAACGCTTTTGTTTGACAGATCACAAGTGCTGCCAAATCCCCCAACCACCCCCATTTTTGGTTCTTCTCACAGCTTTCGACTGGTTGACTGGGCTGCTATCTGATGTTGTTTGCTTCAGCTGCGAGCCAAGCGGCTTTGATTGAACGGGCTGTGCGATGTATGTACACCATATACAGTACATACGATATCGTACAGTAAGATGCTCTAATTACGACTCTCGGTAAGGCAATTCACCGTACACAAACAACAATCTCTCGAACAACAACCATACAAATATCGCTACGTCGCCTTATAACGATTATCGGAATAATCAGATGAGTCGCCTATATAATTATTGTTTAGGTCGAGGTCTTACAAAATTTCAAAAAAAAAAAAATCCCCGACACAAAATTGTGACCGCCTTATCACAATCTCTATACCCCGCATGAATACATACTAGAATAGCTGCGATGATACTAGTAAAATGGAGAGATATCCCAAACAATCTAAGCTAAACCACCAAGGCTACGATATGCTCATATGGTGGAAAAGAACAAACGTCCGTCAATTCATTATGTATGAAAGTAACTGATCAGAGCTATGCCTCAAAAGATAAATCCTTCGCACCTGCATCCAAGTCTCCACGATTAGACCGCATAGGCCTCAGTCCTTGTGCTCCACGTTTGTAACAGTGATACCCGTCTCCTCGGCCTTGTCGGCTTCTGCGGTCATCTTAGATTCCACATCCGCTGGCAGGTGGCCGAGAGCACGGCCACCGAACAGGAGATCGATCTCTTCTAGAGACTTTTGTTTGGTCTCCTTGAAGACGAAGAACACGGTGGGGAACGTGACGCAAATGTCTGTTGTACGGATTGATTAGCCAGGGTAGCGGGAAAGGAAGAGCCACGTTTATAGCAGCAGCTGAAAGGGTTTCGTGGGAAGGACTTACTGAAGGCCACAAAGATGAAGTAGAATTTCCAACCAATACTTGCCAGAGCGATGGGGGAGACCTGCGCCCATAGCGTACTGACGGTCCAATTCCCAACAGCTGTCGCAAAAGCCGTTCCTCGCCCACGGATCTGCATCGGCATGACCTCCGCCATGTATGTCCTATCAACGCATTTGCGTTAGTGTGCTGAAACAGGTCGCGAGTGACAGAAGTCCTGTAAAGTGAGGGGGCTTACCAGCTGGTGGGGCCGAATGATAGAGAGAAGAGAACGGTGACGCAAAAGATGAAGAAGACACCGCCAATGCTATATCCTCGGTTGACTTCGCCAGTTTTGATCTGCGAGTTGAGAGCTGCTTCGCAGATCAGGGCAATGGTGATAGTGACCGTGCCGAAAAGCATAGGCTTCCGTCTTCCGACCCGATCAAGAAGAAAGACAATAAAGATCAAGTTGGTGAGTGGGCCAACGCAGTTATAAATACCAGCGACCAGCGTATTACGATTGCCTGTAATACCAAGCGTATTGTACATAATCGTCTGATAGTAGCCTATCACGTTGACCCCCGTCATCTGAGTGAAGACTTGGACAAGAGTACCGTGCCTAAGTAAAGCTCATTAGTATCAAAGTCAAGGGGAAGAGAGAAGAATCGAGTCGACGCACATCAGTCGATTCCGCCACTGGGGAACTTTGAACATGATCAACCATCCTGGAGCAGTCACGGCCTTCTCCGCCTCAATCGTGGCTCTAATCTCAGTGTGTTCCCTTTGAATCCAGTCGTCATTTGTGCCATCATAGTGAAGCTTTTTTAAGATCCTCAATGCCTCGTCGTACTTCTCCTTCTCAATTAGATATCGAGGAGACTCGGGCATGAAGAACATTCCTATTGCCAGCAAGAGCGCCGGAACCGCTTGGAATGCCAGTGGGAAACGCCATTGAAACTCGCTCGTGTCAGGCGCGTGGAGAGATCCGTAGCCGACCCATCTGAGAGCTAGGTCAGTTACGCCTTCTAATGAACAACCGAGCAGCTGGAAGTACTTACGTGCTGACGATGAAACCCACTCCAATCATTTGCTGTGCCAGACCGACAATCAAACCACGGGAGCGTGGATGGGCGACCTCAGCTTGGTACACTGGAACGGACATGGACATCAGGCCAACCGCCCATCCAGCAAAGATACGGCCGACCAAGATCATAGACAGGTTCTGGGCTGCGGACTGTAAAATGGCGCCGACAAGACAGATAAAGGCTCCCATCTGGATAGTAAATTTGCGCCCAAAACGGTCCATCGTAAGGCCACCCTGGAGGGCGCCAACAGCGGCTATATCGCCTCATGTTAGCCAAGCGCAGGATGAGGGAACTGAGCGGCAGCACAGGGCCTCAAACTGAGTAGTGATAGAAAGAAGCCAGAGAACATACCTCCTCCCGAGAAAGTACTATTGATCGCTCCGATAATAGCTGATGTCTGAGTAGTATTGAAAAAGTTCAAAAAGTTCTTCGATTCAATTACATCAGTCATGACACCACTGTCATAACCAAACAAGAAAGACCCTGTTGCCGCAAAGGCAGCCAGGGAGATGGTGAAAGTTCGTCCCATGTTGGCAAAAGTGAAGGGGAGAAGTTGGTGGGGGCTTATTCCATGCGACGAGTGCAAGGCAAAAAAAAAAAAAAGCAACCGGAGGGGAAAGGGTAGGCGACATTGTCTATATAGAGCCCATGTGCGCCCAACCCCGTCTGGAATGGATATTATCCTTGACTAGCTCCATAGCCATGGGCTGACAGACTGGACAAAACCGCACAGTGGCGCGGGACAAAAGCTTGCAGTTGACCTTGAAAATCCGGGGACGGTTGACCAGATTGCCAATAGACCTCACGCCGTCTTCCCAATCTTGAATTAGTGGCTCATCCAATTGGCGAGAGCTCCACTAGGCGAGTATAGCGCTTGCAAGCAAGAGAAGAGCCAGCCTGTGTGCATTGACAATTCGTTGGCTGACATGTGGGGGGCTCGGCCAGGGCAGGGACAAATGTTGCCTCAGTGACAGGCTGGGGAGAGATTCACTATTAATTAAACCCCGCAGAAGCCAATAGGGTAAATAAAGTCCACTTGCCTCTGGCTAAATGCCTCCTCACACGCCACTGCTGGCCTTGTTCGCTCCGGGGTAGCGGCCCAGTCCACCGAGGCACGGTGGCACACAGATGTGCACCTGCCCACCCGACAGGTCAATTGTGTTCTAGGCCTATTTGCCTGTCTGAGCTCAGACTAGATCTGCGATCTCGTTCACTGCCCAGACCGTGGAGAGGCAAAGTCGACAGGCAGCGTGGTGAACGGAAGAGAATGTATCGCAGGTTTGAATAGCAAATCCTAAACCCGGCTGATTTCCGCGTGCTAACCACTCAGGTGACTCCTCACTCCTGATCTAGCGTCGTTCCCAATTATAACAGCTCGACTTTTGCCATGGATGAGGTTATCCATCGACCACGTGGTGTTTGCACAACAGTGTCGCAAACGCATGAATTGAGGCAAGATGAGCCTAAATGCATGAGAAATAGACATCGGACCCAACGAATCGTGTTATGAACCATCTGAACATTAGCCGAGACTGACACTCCTACACGATGTCTAAATGAATTTTGAAATCTGCTGATCAAGTCTGGTTAGCACTTGTCGGGGAGAGACGATGACTGCGCACCTCGATTGATGGAAATCCCCCCAGCCGAGCCTGCAGCCATGCAGCTTACACTACTGTGCCATTTGCACCAATCCCCGCCGGAGAAGTTTTGACGGACTTTCCCATATTAGGTAAGGTACCTTATTGTCGCGGACCAGGGTCTGATAAATGGGAGTCTAACCAGTTTAGGATACTGTCATTTCCCTCGTCCTTTCAACACGTTCCCGGCTATTAAGAGTCTCGTATTCTAGACTACTTGCAATTATAGCGATCGGAGGCGAACCTAACTAGGTGCATGGAGACCGTTTTACGGTTCGATTGTGATGGTGTGAGTTAAACGTCGACTTGTTGACGGTCAGGACTCAGCTACAGCATCTATTCTTGCGGACAGCTTGAATCGGCACAGATAATGACTTCACCTGGTATCAGACAAGCCGCTTTCGCAGAGACAATGTGCTTCATACTAATGTATGACGGCCTGCGTAGCTTCCCTACATCGTAGATGCGCTAGCAGGTATCAACCCAGTTGCTTGGTAACCTTTCCGTTAGCCGGTTTTCGAAGCGCAGGGGATCACTTGCGCCGTGTTGCCGTGATACTGTCGACTCGAGTCGAAGCCACCCAATGACATACAGACTGGCCCTAGTCAGAACAGCGACAGACCTCTAATCCATGAGAATCGATCTCAGGCAGATCGTCCAGACGCATATTATCCGTTCAACCGAACCGTATCTGGCATATTTGGTCGGATCTAATCAGATAAGCAACTTAGATTTTTCCGGATGGACCACAGGGATTGACGTCATCGAGAGAGTAATCCTTGCCTGCTCGGTCATATTGTATCAAAAGATACCGGCAATAAGGTCACATTGCCGAGAAAATGCTTGGAGCGAAGTCAGGACAGTGAGCGAGTACCTGTGTCAATTGACTCTGTTCCTGGTTTCCAACTAGATTGCCGACCCCGATCCGGACCAGTCTGGTTCCACCAAGGTCTCTTCCCCGCCAAAGGCCAGCCATGACCATCACAACAACCTTACCTAGCTTCTGGAAACTCTCACCCAATACACAAGAACAATCCTGTATACTCAACGGAAGCTGCACTTGTCTTAATCCAATCAAAGATGGTGTCTACAGGTCGATCAAGTACTGTTCCTCCGCCTTCAACTTCATCTCCCGCTCATTCAGACTCTTTCATACGACCCAGGCAGCCAAGCCTTGACCTGGAACGCGATATTCTATCCACACGTGGCCAGCGCCTTGCGGGCTTGATACGACGGCGCTCCTTATCACTCTATGATTCCGACGGCTTTGACGAGAGCGACCGATGGGATGAGTCAATTGCCCCCCGAGAGCGTATGGACCGACCTGCCTTCGAACGCGCGAAGCGATTGATTGGCGACAGAAGCCCCTTTTATCGATGGTATGCTTTAGCTTCCAAGAACACAGTTGAAACGCTGACAGTGATCCCAAAGGCAATCTTTCTACCGCCATCCAGCCACTTTGCAAGGCTTGCCACTGCCGCTGTATGTAGCCCCTTCTGCATCTAACGTCTATGGTTGTCGGTTGCTGAGCATTCTCCAAGACGACAATACTACGAACGCAACAATGACCTCATCTCCCAATACGTTTACATCGACCGATTGTTGGACTCGTCCTTGCCACACCGCTTGATAGTCGATTACCATAAACCTTGCGGCTTGTTGGGACCGACTTCTGCATATACCAACAATGGCAGCAGCACACGGGAGTCCGAGCCGAACACCGTTCCTGATAATGTTTTGGACCCTAGTAATGATACGGCTAAAATCAAGCGAACCCCACGCAATCTCTATCGCATTCCCAATGAAGGCACCCCTCTTCTATCACCACCGCTGGAAGATAATGTGTCAGCACGGCCTGATATCATGCCCAAGCACGACGAGTATGTGGAAAGCGGAGATAGAATAGTCACCATCGCCATCTATGTCAACTTCATCGCCAATATAATACTATTGGCTGCCAAAATCGTCGTCATGTCAATGACAAGCTCTCTCTCAGTGCTTGCGAGCTTAGTTGACGCAGCATTGGACTTCCTCAGCACTGCCATTGTTTGGGTGACCACCAGTTTGATTAACCGACAGGACCGCTACCGGTATCCTATCAGTCGACGCCGGTTGGAGCCACTGAGTGTTCTCGTTTTCGCAGTCGTTATGATGACATCTTTCGTTCAAGTGGCACTGACATCTTTGAGTCGGTTGCTATCGTCAGACCACTCAGTGGTAGAGCTCACGATACCGTCTATCGCAGTCATGGCCAGTACGGTGGTTATCAAGCTGATTTGCTGGTTCTGGTGCCGGTTGATCAAGAACTCAAGTGTCCAGGCTCTGGCGCAAGACGCCATGACAGACGTAGTTTTCAACCTAGCGAGTATCTTATTCCCTCTAGGTAAGTTTGACCGACCTATTATTCATGCTACATCGACCCTATTGACCAATATTCAAGTTGGCTCATTTACCAATACTTGGTTCATTGATCCCCTCGGCGGTTTGCTCCTCTCCTTATATGTTATCTGGAATTGGAGTGGCACGGCCAGCGAGCATATCGGCCACCTTACCGGCGCCGCTGCATCCCCGAAAGATCACAGCATTTTTCTTTATATGACCATGCGTTTCTCCAAGGCTATCCTGAAGATTCAGGACTTGAAAGCATATTACGCCGGTGACAAGCTTAACGTCGAGATTGATATCGTGCTCGAGCCCAAAACGAGATTGCAGGATAGCCACGACGTGGGGGAAAGCCTGCAGTACATGATCGAGAGCGTTCCGACCGTGGATCGAGCTTTCGTTCATCTGGATTATGACCCATGGAACATCCCCAGCCATATGAACCAGCAAGAGGCATAGATACCTGTTTAGGGTAACATGTAAACAACCCGGCCGGCGTATTCTATCGTCCAGACGGATATGAATGAATCGAGCCTGTGCATCGGGTTGGCTGAGTGTATCTATCTATGGGAGTTGTCTAGAACTGGAATTGAATACGAGTATCCTGTTGGTCTGCTGCAGATGACCTGTCAGATTCCGCCCATCAGATAAGGATAATCAAGGGGCGGATGCCCTCCGACTACCGCAGCGTGTCGCACAAGGTGACAAAAGGTCAAGGGATGATCAGCGCATCTGAATGCTGTCAATTTGTTCAATAGCGCGCAACAGACGCAGGATCCCGTGATGTCCCAACCATGCCTATTGTGGAATGTTGATTGTTATCCCGTCCATGATCGCGTGGTGATTTACTCCGCTCCGTTGTTACACCCCAAGCTTACGGGGCGATTGCATCACGCGCCGTAATTGTGCGCGAAGGCGAGGGAAGAATGATAAAACAAAGCTAGACATGCCCTTCCATATGATCGCCAAGTATCAATTACATGTATGGTATGTAACGTTATCAATCAAGCTCAGAGTAAGAAGTAAGATCACGATTAAAATGGTGACTGTATGTAAAAAAAGAACAAAGGAACAAAGGGACCAAACGCCTCGTGGTGAGCGGAAGTGGGTCAGCCGCGGGCGGCGCGAGGGAGTAAGAGACAGAGTGAGTGGAGAGGGAGCGGAAAACGGGGGCGGCCTGGCCATAGGTACAGTAACAGAAAACCAACTTTACTTACCACGCCTCCGCCCGCGTCACACATCGCGACGCGATTAGATCAAGCAAAGCGTCTTTTCCGTCGTGCTCTTGATTTCGAGGCACGTTTTCCCACCCACCTCAATCCAGACAGACACTTTCGACTCTCCATTCGTCTCTTTCCCTTCAATTAGCTCACGGGATCTTTACCTGGGCCCAATTCTTCCAGCTGTATCTTTCGTTCTTCTATTTCCTTTCTTATTTACGTGCTTTCCCCCGAATAACTACCGCCTATGCCGTCATCTTAACCCTCCGCGCTGCTGCCCAACATGTCTGATCTGGAACACACTGCTGAGCCAACGTGCTCGTCTTCGCCGCCGTCTGCTCAAACATGGGATGCTACACCGATTAATTATGCCTTTCTGGTACACTCTCAGAAAACATTGACCCAGAATCTCCCGCCGCGGGTGGACAACAAATTGCTGGCACGGCAAAAGCGGCGCCGCACAAGGTATGCCTGGGAACCGCCCTGGTCGTGAACCACGACTACACTTTAACCCCGAATAGCTTTCCGACTTTCTTGTATAACTGCTAATTGCCGTGAATGTATAGCCCAGAAGATCACGCAATCCTCGAGGCAGAATATCAACGAAACCCCAAGCCAGACAAGACGGCCCGAGCTAGTATAGTCAGCCGCGTCTCATTGGGCGAAAAGGAAGTGCAGGTATGACGCGGAAGAACAATACTCGTACTTTGTACCCTCCAGCTTTCTAATCACCATATCGACGCGCTTTTCAGATCTGGTTCCAGAATCGTCGTCAAAATGACCGTCGCAAGTCCAAGCCTCTTCAACCACACGAGCTTCTCGCGCCTCGATCATCCGCGTCCGACGCGTCGAAACATGCCGCCAGTGACGATAGCCTCTCTTCGGAAATGGTGCCTTCTAGCAGTCCCGATCAACCCGAGGAGATTGGACAGGAGAGGATCCCGTCAACACAATCATCGGACAACTCCTGCGAGTCTGATGAAGCACTTGAGGATAAGGGTGGCCTAGAACAACCGGCTTTCAGCTCTCAAACAAGCTTGGCTACGTCCGTAGCGCCAGAAGGTTCGCAACCAGTATCGAAAGAGGCGATTGCGGAGCCAGAGTCAACTCAGACACAAGAGGTTCCAACATTCGATGAGTTGCAACAGACCATGGTGAAAAGGAAACGATCTGTCACGGAGGTTCAATGCGACACACCGTTTGTGCAGGGTGCGTCGACACCGAGCCAATTCCACGATATAAAGTCACCACCTTCGCTGCGGCTATCGCTCTCTTTCGATGGGGAAGCCATGGTCCGGAAAGAAGGCGAGTTCACACCCTCGCCTCCGAAAGGACGGAATGCTCTTCGCATCGCAATGTCGTCCGACGGGAAAGCTGTGATCAGAGCTGATGGCGAGCCCTCTCCGTCAAGGAATCGTATCTCCATGTTCTCGGCCCGGAAGCCTCCGTTCACAGGACTTCGCAGGAGCAGTAGTGCGGTGGCTTTCAGTACCCCGCGAGCCGGCAGCACGGATGCAGAGAGGATGTTTGGAAGATCCAGAGATCCCAGAAACTGGGAGGCCTTTTTCGATACCGATGCGAGAAGTGCCCTTTGCACGCCAATGAGCTCACAAAGTGCTCCAGGTGCTGGTTCTCCTGGGCTCTTCCGATCCCGGAGTCAGCGTTCCTTGACCAGAAGTCTGTCAGCAAAGCACAACATGTCTCTGCCGATGAAATCAGCAGACTATCTTAATACCCCGGTTCCGAAACCGAACAGCGAGAAGAGACGGAAGATCTCTCGCACTGTCTCGTCACTGGGTCGATTAGAGTCTGATCACAAGTTGTCTTACGCCGGATCCAACCTGAAAGCCTACATGGAAGCGGCGAAGGACGGGGAAGTCGACTTACAGTGCGGTGATTCAGATAAAGAAAACTGGATCCCCGGGACGAGAGTTTCCCACAATCGCCGTCGGGTTGCATCTCATCACAATCCTCGACGTTCAGTGCTCAAGGACACTAGCGGAAGGGACGGCAAAACCCATAAGAACGTCAATCCAGCTGGCAGATATGCTCGAGGTTCTCAACAATCACAGCACAGAGCGAACATGTCCATCGGTAAGGACGTGCCGGAATTGGATCCAGAGGTGTCCGCTTTCATGAGTGGGGGAGGCGGCGCCAGTCAGGAGGAGGACCTTGACTGCATCCAGGGACTATTATCCCTGAGCCAAGGTGCTTGGAGATGAGCACTATTGTCTTCTCATCTCTATAATGACCTCATCTTTCTTATGTCTTTTCTATTCTCTTTTGTCCCATATCCCTCTTCCTTGAATAGATTCCTGTTGGAGATTACAAGCCAGCAAGCGTTGTTTGCCTGTATGAATCGGAGTGATGGTCAACTTGTAATGATTGGATTGTGGTTGCTATTTGCACTGCTTGTTTTATCCCTTCCAGGCAAATGCTGTCAAGGGCTCTTCTTGTTTGGTGATGAAAATCCTGTCTTAAGTGACAATGATATCCCGTGCTGTTTATCAGCCTAATCCCTCCAAAAATAACAATATCATATGATCAAGGATGTTTGAGCTTGGGTGATAGGTTGTAGATTTCGGCATAGCGTGCGGGGGATGATAAGCGAAGCGCAGGACTCACTGCAGCGATAGCTACCTACCTCAGGGCTAGATCCTAGATAGCTTAGACTAGCTGTCTGCAGGATCGGGATGAAGGGAGAAAGAGGAAGGGCGGGTCCGAGACTCGAATGGGAGCGGGGAGGGCAAACAGACAAACAGACAAACAGACAGGTAGGGCTCAATGCACGTGGCCGCCGCCTGCTGACATATAACCGCTCTGTCTCGCCAGCGGCGAACCAAAGACCCCAGTTAGTGTACAGTATTGTTACGCCTCTTCCTCGCCACCATTCGACTGACTGATGTCTATCAGCTTACCCTGGGTGCTGCGTAATTGGAAGAGCGAAGTCATTCACAAGTCGGTAGGTCCAACCAGTCTGCTTTTGCACTCTCACGTCCTCTTTTGCTTGTTATCAGTTGTCCGGGTTGTCTATGCAGTTGCGCTGCATTATGCAAGTATGTAATATCTGCGTGTTTGTGAGCTTATAGACCTCGAAGGGTCTGTCACCTGTCGTGAAATGACGACTATAGCTGGAGAAATGGATTTGCTCGATGCGTCATCGGATGATCATCATTTCATCAATTCTTGGAGTCATTCCCTGACTCATTGGGGGTGTCAGACCCGCCGTGAAGAATGTTGAATGACAGCTATCTTTACATGCCACAACACATCAATGCCGAATCCAGCTAATGGAACATAGTCCAGCCTACGAATCCAGTATACAGTCAATACCAGAGACGTACAATCTTTGCTACAGTCGGTCCGAGGCATGCCCTATCTGTCAAGAACCGTGGCCGAGGGCCACAAGCCAAGAGTGGCTGTTATCGGAGCGGGCTTCGCAGGCTTGCGATGCGCAGATATCCTCATTCAAAACGGCGCCCAGGTCGTTCTTTTTGAAGCGAGAGATAGACTCGGTGGAAGGGTACGTAGACGACAGGCGAACCACTGTCACTTGTCGAGAATTAATTGCTAATCCAGATGTCAAAATAGGTACATCAGAGCAAGATCCATGAGCATGTGGTTGACATGTAAGCTTCCGTCGCATGCTGATATTGCTCTTGTTTTTCATGTTGTGCTCATATCAAGCAGGGGCCCTAATTGGATTCATGGCACCGGAAAGAACCCGATTGTCAGCATTGCTGAAGCAACAAACACCGCCGTTGAGGACTTCGAAGGGAACCAGGCTCTTATAGCTCCCGATGGGACTCCAATCAGTGACGATGTCGCGGAGAAGGTCTCGGACGTCCTGTGGACAATCATCGCCAAGGCATTCGAGTACAGTAACACCTACAAAGAGACGATACCTGCCGATCGGAGCTTGCTTGACTACATCAAGGAACAAGTGGCGCAGACCGACCTCAGCGAGGAAGAAAAGGAGCTGTGCGTTGAATCTAGCAAGATGTGGGGTGCCTATGTTGGTGAACCCATCGAAAGGCAGAGTCTGAAGTTCTTTTGCCTCGAAGAATGTATAGACGGAAGTGAGCATTCTCCTACAAGGTTCCTATGCCAATCACGTCTACAGTTACTGATCACCCTGTCCGCAGACAACTACTTTGTGGCATCCACATATACACGAATCTTGGAACATGTCTCCAAGACCGCACGCCAACACGCGGATATCCGCCTCAACCAACCGATCATCAAGATCGAGTCCTCAGTTCGCGATGACACCGCTGCCATGCCATCATCCAGCACACAAGTGACCCTAACAACAGCTTCAGGGGAAACCTCCAGCTACGACGAAGTAGTCGTCACCTGCCCCCTAGGCTGGCTCAAGCGCAACAAAGACGCGTTTACCCCATCCATACCCGCGCGCCTCAGCCAAGCCATTGACAGCATCTCCTACGGCCGCCTCGAGAAAGTATACATCACCTTCCCTCGCGCCTTCTGGCACAACTCCAACCCTGCATCATCGTCACCTTCACCCAGCACCACCCCGACCCCAACCTACAAATCCTACCAAACCCCAACCTTCGCGCAATTCCTCAACCCAAGCTACTCAACCACCCACCCCCCGGAAATCCACTGGAACCAAGAATGCATCTCGCTCGCCGCCCTTTCCTCCCGGCAAATCGCCCACCCGACCCTCCTCTTCTACACCTTCGGCCCCAGCGCCACGCACATCGTCTCGCAGATCGCACACCTCCCCCCGACCTCCCCGGAATACTACCGACAACTCCACGAAATCTTCCACCCCTTCTTCGCCCGCCTGCACAACTACTCCCCGACCGCGCCGGAGTGCCAGCCGCTGGCCTACCTGGCGACGACGTGGCAGACGGACCCCTACGCGGGCCACGGCTCGTACTGCAACTTCCAGGTCGGGTTGCAGCGCGGGGACCGCGATATCGAGGTGCTGCGGGCGGGCATGGGCGCCGACCGCGGCGTGTGGTTTGCCGGCGAGCATACGGCGCCGTTCGTGGCGCTGGGGACGACCACCGGCGCGTACTGGAGTGGGGAGCGCGCCGCGGCGGGGATCTGTGAGCTTTATGGACTGGGGAAGGTCGGATTGGGGGTCGGGGCCATGAGGGATGATTCTTTGCCGTCCGCCGGAGTGGTTGGTCGCGAGGATTTGGGGGTTGGTGGTGGGGCTTGATGGGAATGGCTTTTTGGGGTTGGTTTGTGGGAGGAGGGATGTTTTGTTGTTTTGACTTTTCTTTTTGGTTTTTGGTTGGTTTTCTAGTACTCATGCTTTTTGTATGAAGACACACACACACACACACACACACACACACACACACACACAGAGAGAGAGAGAGAGAGAGAGAGAGAGAGAGAGATACAGATATAGCTTAGCTGATATACAATGCACACGGGAGCGAACTGCACTGTTTGAGGTATGTATGATTGGCAGTATAGCAGAGCCACAGTTATGTACACCTTCATCGGTCAATCCTTGGCAACCATGGTACAGCAAAAGTAATAAAGACAAGAGCCGAGCCCACAAGACTGATAGAACATGAACAAGAACGAGTGAGAAACAGGAGGGGAATCACAGGTTGGTTGGTCAATCTCGCTCGAAAAAAGGTAAAGGAGAGAACAAAAAAATGACAGCTAATAGGAAGCAAGAGTGAAAGAACAGGAACACATAAACCCCAGAGACTAAATCCGCCCAGGGCATCATTTGAAGTGACCATGCGCCAATATGCTGCCTCCCACGACTAGAGTATCAACGAGCCTGCGTGATCCTCAAGGTTCCGCTCTTTCCTCCTCAACAAAAATCGAAGCACAAAAACACCGCGCGTACTAGAAAGAGGACGGAAGAGTTGGGGGTATCCCTCGATTGAGCGCCGAATTGAATGAAAGAACGAGAAATGTGCGTTCGATAAGGTTCAATGGGGTCGGCTCTTGCGATTTGTTGTTCTTGAAGCTCGGCGAGAGCCGTTGTCCATTGTAAGAAGGATCGTGGTTCCTGGTAGTGGCCGTGCCGGATTCGGCTGACTCCTCAATCTTCCCAGATGGTCTCCAGGTCCAGATCTTGACGACGTTCCGCCCCACAGACACTCCAGCGCTTCCGCTTATCGGCCCGCACCCCGTATCCACCAGATGAAACGCGCGTGTTCATGAAAGGGCTCGAGGGACCCGAGGCATCGGACGTTCCACGCCGTCGATTCGTGTTGGTGGCCTCCTCCGCTTCGTCGGCTTTATCGGCAGCAGCTTTCAATGCTGCGATTCTGTCCGCCTCTATGGCTGCTGCTTCCGCATCGGGAATATCCGGAATGGTTTCCAGCGAGGAGATGCTCGGGCTGCGAGATCGGAGACTGGTAGGGGTCGAGGGAATAGATGAAGTGGAAGAGCCAGAGTAGCCTGGAAAAGTCTCATTGAATCGCGAACTGAGTACGCCAGGGGAGGAGTGCGAGGGAGACGGGCTGCCCATGACCGAACCAGGCGACGATGGCGGATGGAAACTCAAAGGAGACGAGGGGCGTCGACGATTGACGCGAGGAAGTGTGTGCGGGAGTACAGGCGATATAGGGTGCCAGTCGGCCTTGGAAGGAGACGTAACCATGCTGGTGTCCAACTCGGCGTTCTCAGAGATGGTCTGGGAGACATTCAGGGGCACCATTCTCGAGTCGGACGATTCCCCCGTGTTCACCTGCAGCGGCAGATAACGCCTAGCTGAATTGTCGCCAGCGTTGGCAGAGCCCCCGCGACCATTGACGAAGATATACCTGCCCCGCGAGTCCAGCCCGGGGGAAGAGTGGGCGCGCGTCATTGGAGGGACGCCTGGAACTTCGATCATCGATCGTGAGCGGACGTGGGAGCGGTTGAAAGAAGCACGACTCGGAGTTTGGGCAGGCGAATCAGGCGTGAGAGACAAGGTGATCGTGACGTGATCACTGCGTTCTGGCTCCCTGGTATGCTCGACGGTAGAGCCGGACGAGGTCGAGTCAACCGAACCTGCCGAGTCCACAGGGCTTGGGGGTAACATAATACCCTCTGGGGCTGGGTGAGACGCTTCCATATCCGTCTGCGAACCAAAGGTTGGGCTAACTGGACCTCATGCTGGTGTGCGAGAGTAAAAATTTGAAAGGGTGGTTTGCCGGGCGCAGAACCAGGATTTGGGGGGGAGGAGGGTGAGGCGTGTTGTGGAGCGGAGTAGTTGTGAAATAGGAAGTTAGTAGTACTCCGTAGATATACGGGCTTTAGGGGGGGGGGGGTTGAATTTTTGCCCGAGCAAAGCGGAGAGGAGTTATTTAGTAGGGAAAGTTTCCCCCCCCCTTTTTTTTCGATTTTCTTTTCTTTTAAGGCTGGACTATTTTTTGCGCACAAGCAATAAGATCCCCCTTCGTAAAAGTCTTGTTCTTTTTGTTGTGCCCCTCTCTTTTTTGTCCCTGCACTTTTTGGCCCTTCTCAAGAACAGAAGTGAGGAACAGGGTCGGAGTGGTGACGAAGGATGAGTAGGGAGGTAACGTTAGTAGATACCTAGTAAATAACTAAGTGGTGAGGTCAGCTCAACCATCAAAAACCAAAGAATCAACGCGCGGTCTTGCTCGGGGCCCACCCGCACACCGCCTTCTACTTCGGTTTCTGTCAATTCTGTCAATTCTGTCAACTACACCCAACTGCCAGTGGACGTGGACTTTCTCCTCAGACTCCTTCCCCTGCTGTATGAACTAGAGATACCATTTTAACGGCATCATTTCCCAAATTCATTGATGACCTTCAGCCGCTGCAGTTGCCTCATCGAACTCATCATATCGACTCACTAAGTAGGATGACCGAGGTATCTAGCTGCTACTTGGACCCTGACGGGTTCTTGTTTCCCCTCTCCCGCCACAGACTCCCTGTCCATGTCCGATAAGCGTGGCTTGAGGATTCGATTCAGCTTGGCAAACGCAGCATCTTCCTTCCACCTGTATCACTCTTCCTAGTTGCTTCGATGCCATTCCCTTGGTTGGAAGAACAGGGTCCCGGGCCATTCGGCGCGAGTTTTTTTTTCACCCTCTGTCATACCTTCGATGTTTCATTCCAAACTGATAATGCGCACCCCGCGCCTTATCGCTGTGGATCCTACTCACACATTCCACGGCAAAAGAGGGGAAGCCCCAGCACCCAGAAGCATCATGTCTGCTCAAAATGGATCCGAGTCTAGGCCAGTCCAGACATTTGTCGATGTTTCCAGAGCCGAGCACACTAACGTAATACACTCTGCAACCCTGTCAACATGTGCCAAATTGTGCCTATTGGACCTCTCCAGCAATTCCGGCCGTGCCGGAAATCTGACCTGAGCTACGCTGTACGGACTGTACCGCATGCCGACGGGCCCAACCCTGCATAATAGCTTGCCACGAGGAGAGTAAGCTTGCTGCCACGACCTCACTCCAAGGGCCAAAACACGTCTGTCAAATGAGCCCCCAGGCGGTCGTAGCTCATCCCTGTCGTTCTCAGTCGCTGAAACTGGCCGGCCACACTGGCATATGATAGCTTGAGCCATCCGACTACACAGATCTTCCGGGCAACGAACGGTTCAAGTACTATGCTCTTTCACATGGACTATTCTTCGGGTTTAGGCCGTAAGGAATGTAATCAACATATAATGACGAATGATTAAATATTATGGTAGAAGGGCTATAAGAGTGAACTTGAATGAGCTAGCTGGTCGGTCAGAAGTCAGCGGCTGCGAAAGGGTATGAATGCTCAGAACCACATCCACGCTATGGTTTTTGAAGATGAATAGGTTCGTGCTGAACTGATTTCAGTGATGATCCTCCTCGCACATCTTCGAGGTATTCTTGCGCACATAAACCTCACGCACTGGATCACCTGCGTTGGCCTTGAGCTCCCACTCACCAATCCCGTATTCGGCGGGTGCTCTTTTCACGCCACGGCCGCCACCTCCAATGATCAAGTTGCCCGGTCGGTAGTTGGGGTCGCTTTTCATCCGGTGGATTGCAGAGACATGGATTTGGGCTTCATTCGGGATATCACGAACCTCCCCACAAGGAAGTGGCCAGCGGATCGGCTTCCACGAGCCATCTTTCTGAAGATCCATCCGGCGGAAGGGCAGGTACTCCATCATCTTCCAAGTAAGAACTGACATACCCGGTAAACCCATCTTGAACTCCAAACAGTCATGCAGCAAGCCTTCGGTGCTTGAGCAAAGGAGAGCCTCGCGGAAGTTGCGACTCGATTCTGAGGTATCTTCATTCGCATATGGCCGAAATCTGGATGGCTGGCCGTCGTCTGCGTTATTATGGGCCGGGTCCCGGCAGAAGTCACCGTCGCGATTCCAGTTCATTGTTTTCTCATGGATTGGAGTGTAATCTCCGTCAAATTCCTCGCAGCATTCGAATTGCTTCAGCTTCCGGGGGTCGAATTGCAGCCCGGCACGCTGTGCTTCTTGGACCATCCACACCAAAGGGGCATGGCTCAATGGCCAAACCTCATCTTCACCAAGCTTCCAGCCTCCGCCAATATCTGCATGACCCCCTGGGAACCAAACCTCTTGGATGTCTTGCCCACCATCCTCTTCGTCACTCATAACCGCATGCGCAATGACCTCGGGTACTTGCAGTGATAATCCGGAATTGCCGCTGCGGATGGAATGAACATCCTCTGTGGATCCCGCCATGTCGGGCACCGCCAGGCTGAGCTTTCGATTAGGGCTGGGTGAGGCATGAGCACGGTATCGGTGTGAATCGTGATGCAGGTCCTCACGAGAGCAGTTAGTGCTCCGGTACACAGACTCTGTTTCCTCGTGGCTTCGCCTTGGGTGCTGTTGCATTCCATTGTCGATCTCCTTGTCGTCGTTGTCATCATTCACTGTAATAGCGGGAACGTCATTGTGGTCACGTCTTTCAGCAGGATGACGAAGGTGATGGAGTTTCTGGCGACCCCAAAGGTGGGCCTCTTTTTTCTTCTTCTCAGCCCAGGGTCTCACTTCCGATATCAGGTCCTGGCGAAATTTGGCCCGACGTTCGTCAATACCGACCGCATGTCGAATCACCTTGGCGGAACTACGAGCGGTGTAAGGAAATTTGCTCCTTTGCATCCATGCTGACTCGAAGCGCGGAACACTGTTGACAGTGTCGAACAGACCCATGAACCTGATCCTACTAATTGGTCGGCTGAATGTTTCGCGAAATGCCTTCATGTACCGAAAGAGCCTCTTCTTTTCTTCGCGCTCTTCATCTGTGTCATCTCGTCGCTGCTGCCACTTGGCAAAAGTCTTCCATGCGAAGCGGATCAACTCCTCGTTGCCGGCCTCGAGCAATCCTATATAGTCAAGCATTTCGGCCAGGAAGCGTGCAATATATGCCCCTCTACTGAATCCGATGAAGTAGATATCATCGCCGGGAGAATAGTACCGCATCAGGAACTTATATCCGCCCATCACATGCTGGTCGAAAGAGGAACCGATGGCAGAATCCTTGGCCTTCAGATACGCTGACCGGATCCGCTGGTAGCGACTGTGGCTGGTCAGAGAGTGGGTGGTAACGTAGGTTCCAATCCCAGGCTGGTAGTAATGGAATTGATGGCTCTTGCTGCGGTCAAGCATCTGATCCCCCGGATGAAGACGAACGTCAGCCAATTGATCGATTGTAACGAGTGGTCTCATTCAAAGAGTACATCTAAGGACCGGACTTACCCGAAAGATCTTGAGTACATTGCTATCCGACTCATCCCCACAGAATTTGTTGCCGGTTCCATCGAAGCACAGGACGAAATGTTTCCGCACAGGGGCCGGGCCCATCCCCATTGACACTCCATCCATGGTCTCAAGGTTAGAGAAAAGATTGCATGCAATTGACTAGTCGCGATTCTATCGACAACTAGAAGAAAAGGGTAAGAGCGGTGGTGCTTGAGCGATCGGAATCACGACTAGCGCGGGGGATGCCACTGCTGTATATACACATGCGTCGGTAATGTTACTGGCAGCCAAGGCACGCATATGCCGGGATGCTGCGGCCCTACGGTGCGTGGGATCTTCAGAGTCAAAGACTGAGAAAGAGGGTGCGTGTGACGCTGCTGTGAGACCGTCCGGAACTTGGATTTATGGAGGTTCCTGCAGCCTCAGGCCGGCCTCTAGCAGGAGATACGTCGAATCCAATCCAGTTTTCCCTGAGTGGATCCCACAATGATGGTTGGCCGAGACAGAGCTGAGACGCATTCCTCCAACTTCTGCCTCTGCATTAGGGCGACCCCTTTTGTGATAATATGCAGCGGGCTGATTTGCTCCCCCGATCGCCTTAATGAGTTCTCAATTTGCTTATGGTCCGGGCATGGCGGCATACTAGACTAGCTTATTTGCGGCATACAGGCCGACTCGCTGGTCAGCCCAGGCAAATGTCAGCTGCGGTTGCAGCGGCCAGTGCTGACATGGCATGTCTACGCTAATCAGGAGTTCAGAACAGCCACGAACATCTCAGTTAGGTTTGCTGACCAAAACCCTTCCAGGGCATCCAGCTCGACTCATCCTGCACGGACGCTTATCTAGCACGATGCGGATGGGGTTTTGGCGCGGTCCGGTGTCAAGTTTCCAAGGCCCCGTGCTTCTGGGAGGAACGGATCGGTGACGGCGATCATCATCGGAAAAAAACAACAATGTACCACCATATATCAGCCTTTTCTAGCGGCATCCGTGTAGCCATGTGTACCGATACGAAGTACTCCGTGGAGTGTATAGGCGGGGTTCCCGTTCCGTCTCTTGCGCCCCCGCGTGAGTGACAATTGTCCATCAATCCATGACTTGTCGACATCATGGCAAGACGAAAATCACAGACTGCGAGACTGAAGAGACCCAAGAATGTCCAAATGTGCAAAGGGAGGACGATCGTTCCCATGTTTGCCCTTGGGTGGACCGTACACTCCACCAATGGCATTCCCAAGGGAGAAGAAGCCCAAGAGTACGGAGTACCACAAGATCTTTCAAGGTTATGAGTTCCAGTGGTGCAATCGTGGGAGGCCCGAGAAAGTTTCTTTGAACTCCACGAACTTGCTCCTTAGCTGCGCCTACATGAGATGGTTTCCGATACATGTGAACGAACAGTTTTTGAAAAGAGATGCAATGACTCGCAAGAGTTGATTCTGCTGGGAAGCTGGGCTTTTCTGACGTGCAGATGCACTTGGGCCATTCAATTTTTTGCTCAGACCCACCGGATCCCGATGAGTATTGCTGATAAGAACCATAAAAGATAGAATATGGGCCCTAAGCGAAAGACAAAGAATAGTTGGCTCTGGTCCCCACAAGTTATGAAAAGGACGATCCTTTCCCCTATTTACAGTACCTGCTGGATGGACGCTAGCATGCTTGAGTGTAACACCAGGTAAGCCTTTGCTGCAAGGGACAAGAAGAGAATTCTGTTCAGAACTTCGATCAGAACTTGGAACTTCTGACTGTCCGCATTTCTCTCAGCTGAGCCTGGAGCACACACCACCAGAGTGGGTGGTGCGGGTGGGAATAAATTAATGCTAGGCAGTGAACTAACGAGAACTAGTTATCG